CTCACTTGTGTCCGAACACACTACTCACTGTCATTCCTTTGTACACTGCCACCGTGCTTTACACTGCTACATATGACACTATATATAGTCACCAGGTACTGTACCTTCTGTTATCATGTTCCAACAAAACAAGCTTCACATCATTGATGCTTGGTACTACAAGATTTGAAAAACTTGCAAAAGAGTTAAGGAAAATCTGGAAAATCTTAAATACAAAATTTAGAATTTGGATGATACCTAACACAGCTTCCGAATCTCCTTAGCATCAAAAATACTGTTATTTCCTTTCTTCTTTATCTGCTTCTAAAATATGTTATCGTTTGTTTGTTTTTTTTTTTTTTTTTTCATTATAAGTTGCTTACTTTGTTCTGCATCGTGGGGTTGTTCTTTTCTTTCATCCCACTGATTTAATTTATTTTCGCACAATGCTATTCACCATTGATTTCTTTGTCTACCTCATTTCAATTAATTTGCGCTCACCAAAAATAATATTGATTTTCTCTAGTCTTTGGAAAGAATCGAACAGTTTTAACTAAGCTTTTATAATGGTTATAAAATATGCAAAAATCGCATGGCGCTTCACTAATGCCTCATCAAAAATGCTTTTTGGGAAAGTGAAGACGATGTCCCAGTTGAATTCCGAAGCTTTAAACCTACATCCAAAACTTGATCAGCTTTGCTCTTTGGAATTAAAGCCCTTAATAGAAAAGTTTTCACAAATGCATAATTCGTTTTGGAAACTTAACTTTATGTGTGAACGTTAACTTCTCCACTTTATAGAAGTGAAATGCAATTTTTCTTCAAGATTTAATTAGGCTAGATTTTGCACCAGCTATTCACCCATGCATTATAATTTAAGTGATGGGATAATAGAGCTTGAAAGGTCGCAGAAGAGTAATCATCCAAGAACTTACTTCTACTACTGATTCCACAGGATTGGTATTCAACTGGGGAGCATTGCTGGGCTGGGCCGTTATACGCGACGAATTGTGCACAGTGGTGCTTTTACTGTATATGGCTTCGGTGAATTGGACTCTGATTTACGACACAATATACGCTCATCAGGTGGAATAGGCTTGGACACAATATACTCCAGTATACCCCAGATATACTCGCAGACAAAAACACTGTAGATCATTTGACAATGGGACAATATCATAGGACTAAAAAAATCTACGATTAATATATTACTGGCATAATAGATTCCTATTATTATATATATATAAACACTGAGGTGCGTCCTTTAATTCTTACACTTCGATCTAACCGTTTAGGATAAAGCAGATGATCTGATAGCCGGTGTTAAATCTACTGCTCTACTTTTCGGTGATAGAACGAAGTATTGGTTGATTGGTTTCGCAGCTCTTACCATGCTAGGTCTTGGAACCACAGGTGTTATGGTGCAACAGACATGGCCCTTTTATAGTGCCTTAACTGCTACCGGAGTGCATCTTGCATGGCAGATTGGCACCGTGAATATCAATGATCCAAAGGATTGCTGGAAAAAATTTAAAACTAATCAGGTAAGACAATATGTTAATGTTTTTCAAACATAAAATATCTTAATAGTATCCAATAGACAAATTGTTTCCATCATTGTTCCTAAGATTGCAGTCAAAAGAATTTTTTTGCATCATGTTTTCAAATATGAAATACATAAACTTATCAGTGATAAATTATAGTACGTTCAATTTCGACAAAGATTTAGCAAGTTAAACAGTTTTCCTCAAAGGAGAAGATTTGATTCAAAACTAGGCTTTGCTTTTACTCAGGAATAACATATTGATAAAAATTCTGAAACACATTTCTACAATTGGATACAAGAATTTATTTTAAGATCTTAAATATGAATCAAGGCGGAAAGATATCCATATCAGTTTTTTATCATTTTTTTCCAGTGGCTTGGTATTATTTTATTTACTGGTATTGTCGCTGGGAATTTGTTACGGAAAGAAGAAAAAGAAGGAACGAATCCTGCTCTCGTTGAAAAATTTATTGAGTAATATGTCTGTTGTGAAAGATACTAAATATCAGTTTTCAATGAATGTCGTACTCTCATATATCCATAAAGAAATTTAAGCATGTGTTGCTTTGGTATAACCAAAGTTCACTGACTTTGTTTAAGACACATTCGAGCAACCAGTGCAGATAATTGAAGTAGTGAGCTAACTCCTTCCACAATTCGTACATGACACAAACCAATTTCCTGAAATCACTAATTCTTCAGCATCATATAAACAGTTCCATCAATTCCATACACTTCAAATGAAAAAACAATACCTTCACGTATTCCAGTTTTAGATATTCAGGAATACTGAGTGTTTTACACACGCGAACCATGTTGTTAAGGATATCTTCTGCTGAATAACCCATCCGATAGAGACTATGCACAATTTCACCAGCTTCGATAACTTTCCCATGAACACAATGCTCGATTATTTGCATTACCATTTGCGGATGTGGTTCGTCACATACCTTGACATGATATATCATAAATTGCATTGTGGTGGCTAAAGTTTTAGAGCTACAAATTAGGAAATTATAGACCTACTGTCTTACACTACTGCGATATATTGAATAAAATCACATTGATTTTCGAAACTTCCTACCTAATGCCGATCCATTACGGAACTTTATGGTTTCAACCATTCTTGAATCTACATCTTTAGACGTCAATATCCTTTTACATTTGTAGCTTGTATTTGTTTAATTACCTAATCTCCAGAAGAGAATTTTTAATCGGGATGTCACAGCTTTTATTTCCTCTCAACAAAAAGATAAGATAGGTCACAGAGATTACCCTGAAAACATTATCAGCCGTGACATTGTTGAAGCCAACTACTGTACATTGCAGGTTGTTAAGAGCCTAGAAAAAATACGACACGAATAAAATTAACGTATTAAACCAGGTCAACCAATTAGATTAAATTATTGCAAACAGATCATATATGTAATTTGAACTTTATGTGGTTTAGAATATGCGGAACCCCAAAAAAAATTACCTGCCGCATATCTCCTTGAGCAGTAAAAACTAAAGCGTCAATCCCACTATCATCGTATGTTACCTTTTCTGCTTCACATATTTGCAACAATCTTTTCACGATTTGTTCTTCAGAAAGTTTCGAAAAACGCAAAATAGCACAACGAGATTGAATCGGTTCTAAAATAACAAGTTCAGGAAAACACACCCTTTTCTTCCGAAGAGTTTTCTCTTAGATTTTTTGTAGGCAAATTTTAACGCATCAAAGACAATTTAATTAAGAATTTTCAGGTCAATTTCTCTAGATGACAGTTTCTTTTTTTGCTGACAGCCTGCTTCTCTTTTGATTGATAATTATTTACTAAGCATCAGAACAGAATTATTCCCAAAAAAGATTAACTACCACAGTAAAATTAAAACATGCGGATAATTTACCTATGACTTTCCCAGACTGATTACACGCCAGTGTAAAGCGAGTCGTTTTACTATATACCTCCATTGTTCTTCGGAGCGCTTGTTGCGCCCCCTCTGTCATTGAATCCACTTCATCTAGTATAATTATTTTATGTCTTCCCGGTGGCAACGTAACCTTACTTTGTGCAAAAGTTTTGATTTTATTTCGTACAACGTCTATCCCTCTAAAATCGTTGATAATATTCTCAGAATAGTTTGATGCTTAAATAAATCATTACTGAGCGAAGCTTTAACTTGAAATCTAAGAATATGTAAGTGAACAATTAAGATTAAAGGTCCAGAAAACAATAAGCATTGAAAACAACGAGAATTTGAAAAATATTTCCCTGTCATCGGAAGCATTCAATTCCAAACATGCATTTTTAAGACGATCACCGAGCATCTCCCGTGCTAATGCCCACATACTCGTTGTCTTGCCACATCCTGGCGGTCCCTCAAAAGCTATAATATTAAAATTGCACAGAAAAGAATTAAGTCAATGAAAACAGGCTTTACGGACAGACTTACGATAAGAAATAGACTTTAAAAATCTTGTACATGAAATAAAACTTTAAAAAGTAACCGAAATAATAATATTTGGTGTGTTTCCTTGCTTTGCAAAGGCAGCCAAACGTTGAACAACAAATTCATTTCCGACCACTTCTGACAACATTTTTGGCCGGTATTTTTCGACCCTATAATGAAACAGTTTCCATAAAACTTTGTTATTTATTGTTATTTAGTCATGCAGTGGAAACTAGAATCTAATGGTATGAAAAACAAAACATAAGAATGCCTGTAACAACAAAAAAAAAAAGAAGAAACTAACAACTTATCGCCATTCGGAGCAAACTACTAGTAGTGATAACTTCACAGACTTTGTCTATAGTTTGATTCAGATTCAATTACTTAAGTTCTGGTAGCTCATAGGTTCCTCTGTTTTCAGTTTAGTTTCGTATTACAAGAAGTAAAATTTTATCTTGCTTCGTCCTACTTTGACCTCAATCGCCACCAGGTAATGTCCAAAGATTTTTGAGACTAACCATAAATTATTTATCAATTTGAGATGACAGCAAAAGCGAAACTAACCAAGGAGTGCTCGAATTCATCCTATTATGCTTTCTTTAATTGGCCTCACCCTGCAAACAATACCATACAGATCAATTAATTAAATCATAAGAGGTCAATCAGAACCAAAAACTCGTCTGTTACGACGTTTGAAATTCAAACATTGTTTCAAATAAGTAATCGTTATGAAACTCGTCTATATCATGCTATCTTAAGCGGCACTACGTAGATGCTATTCCTCTCTTCTCACTCCTCTACAATTGAAAGTTGTGAATTGTCAAAGACGGAAAGTCGGTGAATATGATTCCAGAAAAAGAGTACAAAGGTCATCTTGTGATAATATCGATAACATGTATATGTTAAGACGGAGTAAATGACGAATGTACTGGTTATTACAAGCATTTGTCAATTGAAGGATTTGGATTTTTATGATAGGTTAGCTAATTTCAGGTTAAAAAGAGGAGGAAGTGTTATGGAAGATAAGGGAAACTCATAAAAGATGTGTGAGATAAATGGGAAAGCATATGGTATGTTATTGAAAGTAAAAACAGTGGAAAGCTCGCTAGAGGAATAATACTTCATGCTCGAACGAAATTTCGTAGTTACGAAGATCACTCACAAATAACACATGCAGTAGTAATAGTATCAAACAATTCCTCCACTTTCTCTATAGCAGTGTTAAATGAAATATGAAATTCAATGTATTTAGCATCTTCATTCTTCAAACAGAATAAAGTAAAGAGAGAATTTAAAGAAAATGAAATCTTCGCATTTTACTGCGATCATAACGACACCTATCTAATAATATATAATACAAATCAAAGCTTAAGCCAATTTTGATGTTCTTGTACTTGTATCTTAAAGATAAATTGGCTGTCACAATACATCGAGAGCTGAAGTAATTCTGAAGAGGGCCATCAAAAGCCATCAGCGAGAAAATGTTTCCTGACCTCTGATATCTTTAGGACTTTGACATTGTTTTGGTCACTTGACTATAACTTGAGGCTTAATCTCAGGCACCAAAACTTTTGGTTAGTCCTTTAATTATGTGAGACATATACTGAAATCTTAACGGGTTATAAAGAGATTTGGACTGTTTTCGAAACGAATACACCAAACTGATAAGGCTTAGTTATTTTCAGGACGGCTCTATGCAATCATTAGTGGAGAAAGCAGTGATTTCATTGTTAAATGCGATGGGAAGAAAGGTATTTTGGCGAAAAATTATCCTCATCTCTAGATATAATAACTCTGGAGTTCAGTACTGCATAGGAAAACTATGTAGACATACGTATGGAAACGGGAAAAATGCTGAGCTACAGGTTGTTATATGCGTAAAGAACGCCTAGGAAAACGAGATAAGTATCGTTATAGACCAGCAACAAGTTCCAAAAAATAAAGAGAACTGTCTACTTAACGTAAATACGAGAGATAGCATAAACGTGAAGACTGAGGCGAACAAAGGAAACAGCAGAGGTAAGTTCGATTTATATAAATATCGAAAGATGCATTGATATAGTGGACGCCGTGAAATTGCGTATTATAAGAGATATGGTTTGACAGTAACTGAGGACATAAGAAATACCTATAAATCATGTAACCTATAACACATTATTGATACTACATCTCCCTTATCACATTGCTGCTATTAGTAATTCACATTAAACTTCTCTACCATTGTTATCATATGTAGAACAATGAAAATGATATGAAACGGTTAAGAAATAATCGAAGTATGAATTAAAAGGAGAAAAAAGCGAAGGACTGATGGCTCCCTGAAAAGGACAAAAGAAGATTGCGAACAATGCATGGATAGATAGTATTTCGAGATATGCTTTTCTTTACTTCTGAAGATAAACAAATAAAAAAGCATAATATGCATAAATGAATGGCGTGTTAGTAGTATCTTTCTATGAAATTGTGCAAAGACGCATTTCCAATTTACTTGTCTCACTGTTAACAGCAAATCTCCCTTTCATTCTTTTCTCGTTTGAAAAGCCCGACCGGTGCTTCACGGTTCTCTTGTTTTTTATAAGTAATTGAACTTAACTGGGAATATTTAGTAGAAGCTACCGCGAGCTCTTTTTGGAGAGTTTTTCCTTGGATTATTTGTCAAATTTGAGTAGTCGATGATTAGTTTTAATTTGATTAATTTTCAGGTTTTAATGAAAATTATAGGTATCATACAATTGCTCTCAATTACATTCGTCCATTTTACACTAACACTGGCTAATGTTTTCCTTGGTGATAATATTTACTATGCTGTGAACTGCGGTTAGTATCATTTTACAAGTAGTAAAAGAACCAAATTTTCAATTAAAGTGAGAAAGAAGGATTGAAAACCATGAAAGAATACTATCGCTAGGTTAAGGAGCTTAATGTTGTCGAAGTATTACCGAGATAGTCAGTCTTATTAAGTGTCCAGGTGAAAATGGACAGACTGCTTTCCACCGATCTCCAGCAATAAGTTCCATCCATTGTAAATTTTCGAACCTTACCAGTTAAATATTTTTCGATTCTAAAGTTTTATAAGAAAGAGGAAGTTTTACCTTTTACCATCCGTAATAATAAGTGTTTGTACTAGAGATGGTAACCATGTAGGCAGTTTTAATATTTGAATGAAATGTAGAACTATTTCGCAGTAAACTAAATGAAATCAACTGAAAATCGTAAAGGACTAAAGGACTTCATAATTCTTCAGAAAGAATGAATCAGTGTTTGTAATCATCAGTTCTCTCTAAGTATGAAGTCCATTTAGTTCTTTTTCAGTTTATTTCGTTTACTTTACTGTAATTAGCAAAATTTTCTTGTTAAGCAATGAAGTGGAATAGGAAAAGAATCTTTTCCTCAACACTTGACTTAACAGTAGTGGTACTACGATACGTGAAGTTACTTCATGTTCATGAATCTAATAGACTTTAATATTGGAAGTAGTTTTGCTTGAAAGGAAAGTTTTTTTTAATATTTAGGTGGACTAGCACATACAGATCTTAATGGTGTTCATTATCAAGCTGATCCATTACGCGTTGGCATTGCATCTGATTTTGGCAGTAGGCTAACGATAATGAGGGTTGATCCACGTGATGCTATTCTTTATCAGACTGAGAGGTTAATACATTTAATAGCAAATATTGAGCAACATGAAATTTCCAATTAAACGATGTTCAATTTTATTAATTATGGTAAGTTAATCGATAGACCTCTTTACACTTAAAAGATAAAATAAAAGGAGCAAGATCCCGTAATAACTACACACCGTGTCATTTGTGGTTTCGGCTACGCTAACATAATATTCGATGATTCAAGAATCCATTATTTTCTTTTATTACATAAAAATGCAACAGGAAGTTTTACTCCCGCATTTATTATTTCAACACTTTAACATAATTTAAAATTCCTAGCAATCTATTTACCAAACTTGTTTGATAAAACTGATAAATTTTAGGTACCATACAGAGGATTTCACTTATACTGTGCCATTACCAAAGGATGATGGGGAATACACATTGGTTCTCAAATTTTGTGAAGTTTATTTTCAGTCTTCACAGCAAAAGGTGATAGTTTCTTTGCTTCTACTAGATTTGCCTTAATAACTTTATTAATTATTAAGTAAAGCTAATATGAATATTTGTTCAACTACCATTTTACTGCATTATTTCTAGGTATTTGATGTCATATTTAACGACGAAATAGTGATCGCAGATTTAGATATATTCAAAGAAGCAGGAGGTATTGGAGTTGCTTATGATCGTCTGCTGACGTTTCGTGTAAATAAATTTTAATTATACTGTGATGTTTTTTATGTGAATATTCGTGTTTGTGTGACTTTGATTTTGGAAAATTACTCGTAAACTTAGTGTTTCTCATTTAACGCTTCTCATTACAAATCCTTATAGTTTCTGCATTAGAAAGTTGGATTTTCTAAATTTTCTAAAAGTGTTACGAACTATTTATTTGATGTTTTATGGATTCGAAGTTAGACATTATGCTTAAAAATATCAGATTTGCACAGGTTGAAAATGGTTTTTTATTATATGGAGATCGACGTGATTCGTCTGGATATATAAAAATCACATTATCTAAGGCATGTTTTCTTTTTCATTTTTCGTTTTTTTGTCGTTATCGTAGTTTGAAATGCTCACAGTGGGTACGTACAAGATTTTAATCAAACGCTTTAGTTAAATAATTTTAATTTATTGAAACAATAAGATTTTCAGGGTCCTTTGGATAATCCAAAAATAAACGCATTTTATATTTATCGTGGTCCTAAAACGGTAATTCATTTGAATCTGATCTTAATTAGTTTATTGAAATTACAAGAATGTTGAAGCCTCCATATTATATATCAAAGGGATTTTCCTTACCAAATCTATAAGGAACAAATTTTTAGAATTCAAGCTTTTTAAGGATATCCCGTTTCTCCGAGACATATTATTTGATGAGGAAATAGAGGAGGAGGAAGAAGAGGACAGATTTGATGAAGAAGCAAATGTTAAGTTGCGTACTGAAATCAATCGCTTCGAAGATGAGCCCGTAGTGGAGGATCCTTATGCTGAACAGGATACAAGTCACATGTTTATACCGTTCCTCATAGCCTTCGCTTGTTTTTTTCCAGTTTTATTCTGTTTATGTAAATTATAACAGAAATATTTTTTTTTGTTGTTTGTTTTCCTCATTCTCATGAAGCTGTAGACCTCAGAAAGAATTTTCCCGTCTTTGCTCCTATCTTGGCTAAAGTCAAAAAAATTTGATAAAGCAGATCCTAAGTTGCGTAGTGAATCAATCGCTTCGAAGATGAGCCTTAATATTCCGTGAAAAGTATATAATTCCATGTTTTTTGTGTAATAAAAATTGATTCGTTTAAAGTGAATTGATTCTACACTTAGGATTATAATAATTATTGTCCTTTTACTTAGTTTTATGTTTATTGTAAAAACTGCTTTGTGACAGTTTTATGTTTATTTAGAAAGTATTCCGTGAAAAGTATATAGTTCTATGCTTTTTGTATAGTAAATTACAAAGATAAATAGAAATCCAACGTTGTTTTAATTTCTGATACCGCTAATTATTTTATGCACATTTCTTAGTGCACGTGACAATGGCTAATTCAGGGATCTTTTCCTATTTTTATCTTCTACCACCAATCAGTTAGTTTCTTTTGTAATATTCTTGCTTCATTATGTCATCTTGGCTTCGTTAATAAACAATAACTTTTGTTGTTGATCTGATTAGTTCATCTGAATTCTCTAATAATGCAACAAATATTAATTTCATATGTCTTAAAATTTCGTCTTAGGTCGTAAGATCGGTTCATTCCAACTTCTCTCTCCTGCTGCTCAAAAGGATAGAGATATTCTCGAAAAATTCTACTGGTTTTTCTTCTTGTTCTTGTACTCTTACCAAAACATACTGAAGTTCATGTCATGATGATTTATTTTTATCGATTGGGATGTGTATTATTGTATTTCTTTAATTTGTCCTTAATTCTGTGTGAATCTTGCTAATAAATTCTTAAATAATAATTCAGTTACAATCTGTTCTTTCCTAACTGTCCACATATTCACATTTACTACGGGTAAAGTAAATATATACGATAAGTTCATTCATTCTGGGACTTTTTGTTATTCAGATCCCATCCTCGCACTAAACTTTCAAACACGATGATAAAATCTGAATAACAAAATCTTTTCATAAAATTATCATCATGAAGATCCTTTTAACGTCTGTTTATTGGAATTCCGTCGGTCTACTTTGTTTTTAACAGATGATAGAGAGAAAACGAGAATGGGATCTATTACATCCCAGTTAATAACTACAGAGTCAATACCATCTATGGACACGATAGTGATAGTGCATACCTGCAAGTGCTTTTCGATTACTTGAACAATTCTTTAGTTATAACAGTTTTCGACCTTTGCAATGGACAGTGCTTCAAAATGCTTTAAATAGGAAAGACCAAATAGTAGTGATGTCAACAGGTGTACTTTCTTTTACTCGCTTAAAATGTTTGCACTTATTTAATGATAATGAGTAAGGATTTTGAGTATTAATTGATTATTCGACTTATTTTAGGTTATGGTAGAAGTATTTGCTACCAATTATCATCACTGTACACTGACAAATTAACTATTATTACATTATCATTGATTTCTTTTATGAATGAGCAAATGAAAAATACTCGGTGAGTTATCATCAAATTTACAAATTATGCATTTATAAGCATGGCTTTCGTAGAAACTGGAGTTCATGAAATAATTACAGGAACAATGGTACTCAAGTAGCTTGTATAAGTGGCGGAACAAACTTGAACGAATAGCAGTCAAACCTTGCATCTGATAATCTTCATTTGCTTTATATTACTCCTGAATTTGCTCTCCACTTTGGTTCTTTGTTAACAAGTGTTCGTAAAAGGAAGTTTAATATCTGTAATAAGAGATTGTGCAGCAAATACCGTGCTTAATGTTCAATTTGTTTGCAATTAAATTTGTATAAATTGAGTATTGCTTTTGTATCCACACGATCGCAGTTAATAAATTGCTGTGTGTAAGCTACACAGATTGGACAAGCTTATTTTAGATGTTAATTTGCTGACAGTCGACGAGCTCATTGCCTTTCTGAGTAAGGGCACGAATGTCGTTCCAGCTATCGGTAGCTAGCTAAAATTGTAATTTCTTTGGTAAAAACGTTCCAGTGGTGGCTTTTACGGCTACAGCAACACAGCAGGTCAGAATGGATATTGCACCCAACTATCGTACTATCACAATACTCCATCAGCCAATTATCATACTTGTGTCATTGGATAAGTTTGAACTATGAAAATTTGGCTTTCTCTTGTTTCTTTTTTGTTATATATATATATATCAGTTGTTAGGACTTTTGCCCATCGCTAATATGTGCTACTAGCATCATATATGCAAATAGTGTTTGACATGATTATATTTCTAGTAAAAAATTCTATTCATTTTAAAAATATTCCAAAAATTCCTAAATTTCCAGTCCATGCAAGTTTTGAAAGATTAATACATTTGCTCAATGAAGATAAAAGAATGGAAAACATTTCAATGATTCAACGATCGTATATTGCCATACGTATGTATATTTTAGTTGGTAAAATTTATGAATGTTTATCTAATAAGAACTCTATTCTTATTAAATAGTTTAGGTAAATATGAAACAATTGTGTTCTGCGATAGGTCAAATTATTTGTACAAGAAGCAAGCCTTTTTACTAAATGTCGTATTTTATTCTTGCTTTACTAATTTAGCTGTTTAGTAAAGTTGTAAAAATTCTTTATTGTGTCATCACCAGTATTCTTGCTAGAAGTTTGATAAAGTTAAATAATCTGCAGACCAGAACCTACACAAGCATTTTGACGTCTAAAATAATAGAAACTTCACTGATCGGTTCTTTCGTTTGTCGTTTAGTCTGAAGATTAGCATTTATATAATTGCGTAGGTAATAGTATTTCGCCCAGCTGTTGATGATATAATTTATGCTTCTGATTCAGATTAAGCATTAGAGGATGTTGTTTTTATGCTTTCGTTGTTTGGAACCATAGTCGGGGTTTTAAGTTTGCGGCTCGTATACTGATTGACTTAGATTAGTATATTAGTTTCTAAGTTTTGGTTTAAATCAAAATCCAGATTTTTGCATCGGATCATAATTAATGTGCATTTTTGCGACTGAAAACACCCTGGAGTAGAATTAGAAGGAATTTGGATTCTGATATAGAAAAATTAAAAACAATCGTATGACGAGCAATCCATAAATAGGCGGATTACATTGTGTCAATATTTTGTAGGTTGATCGGTAATATTTTTTGTTGTCTTATTAATTTCATGTCTAAAACAGTAGGCAAAAAAGCAAAGATAAAAGATATGAAAAATAAAAAGAAGTGAACTTGCTCAACTACCTTATTACTTACTGACGTATCAGCAGATGGACATTTGTCCCATTCTCAAAATAATATTTCTTTTGTCTTCGTTAATCATTAAACAACCAATTACTAAGTCACAGAGTCATCCTGCACTCGTGAATTGTTATTTGAAACTAATTAATCAATACTTCAAAATTTGTTGAGTCCAAACGCAGTAATCAATGGATCAGAATATTTCTTTGTCCTTTGCAAGCTGATTATAAATGATCTGTTCATTATATGTCAATGTCAACTTATTAGACATAAGAGCAGTAATAGTTTGTCACTGTTTCATCTTTTGTACAAGAAAATTTAATTGGAGGATGGAGCGAGCATAAACAAACATATGTTCAAGGCTTCAATGTTAAGTGTCTTTCGTACTTGCTTCTTTAAATTTAATAACAGTCTCACCAGTCAGTCACACTGCATTATTACACTTCTTTCTCATCTCCAATCTGTATATATATATATCACATATATATCTTATCTTTCCTCTTCTCTGTTATTTTTTTCTTGTTAACTACGTCATATCATTTCAGTTTTTCTTCTTTTTGTTAACTATGTTATATAATTTCAGCTTGCAGAAACTTTAAGTTCGTTTAGAAAAGAAGAATATTTCAAAAACAGAATTTCTGATGTCAGAGATAACGAGTTCGAAGGTAACTTCGTCTTCCACTATCGATTCTGTTTCACGAAAGTGGAGAGAGAAACCAGATATCTCGACCAAGATTTCACGTGACGATGCAATGACGGACAATATTGTTCTGGAACTCTGCTCCGCTGCCGAACAAGCCATTAATGTAGAAAACTTTTCTATTTTTGCAATCCAGTAGTAAATTTCTCTTTGTTTTGAATTTCTTTCTCAAGTGGAAAACTGAAATTTCAAGTGAGAAAAAGTAATTCATTCTGAAACAACAGTTGATAACTGGGGAATACATAGGTATTTCAATCTAAACTGGCAGGATACCGGTAAGTTCATATAAATATTGCAATCAAAAGGCTATCACCACACACTCATATTTTATTTCAGTTTCCCTATCTAACTTACATCATTTGTTAATGCTGAAAATGTGTTTAGTTCAATCCGGACGAGTATCTTCAAGCATTTTATTCCATGCCAACAAAAGATGTAGCGATGCATACCATACTTTTTTTTCTTCCCGGAATTCTCTACTGGATTCCAGAAGAAATTCGGACACTACTCGATCTCGGAGCTGGTTTGTGTCCCTTTTTTTTCTTACATTTCCTTTTATGGTTATGCGGTACGGCAATTGTTAAGTTTTCAAGCAAAAATACTTAACTATGAAACAAGAATGATTAATCATTGATAATGCAATATCCAACTGCGTCATGGTAGAATAAAAAGCGTATGTTTCTATTTGATAAAAATTTAAATTTATCTTTCTTCCAAACTGGTCCCAAAATCTCGTTTTATTTAGGTCCTACTGTTTATGTGCCAATAACATTTCGGAAACATGCCAAGCATATTTATAGTGCAGACTGTGCAGAAAACAGTTGCAACGTGTTGAAAAACTGGGCCAAAAATAAATCATCGTTTGAGTGGACAGAAGTATGTAAATGGATAGCCTCTATCGAAGGCTCAAATGAGCCACCAGTTGTTATGGAACAGAGCGCCCGCAGCAGGTTCAAAGCCGTTTTGTGGGTAATTTTACATGTTTCTTTCTTAGAGAGTGAATGGGATGACCCATTAGCAAATGAAAAATGTATAATCCGATCCTAAGAAATTTTCAAACATTTCATTTTGCTACTCGTACTTTGAAAGACAATCCAACGAAGTCAGATGCTCGCAGGAATGCAAGAAATAATTTCAGGCTGATTTACACGCTGAACCAATCATCAAATGTGTGCATTACAAATGTTCAGACAGCGATGATATTCCCCAACAGTTCCATGTGGTTGTGTCCATATTTTGTTTAGAATATTCCAGTGAAAATTTGGAAGGTTATCGTCACGCAGTCCGTAGTGCAGTGAACTTGATTGAACCAAATGGATTTTTGGTCAGTTTTAGCCCTTCGAAATTATTTTGAAGCGCTACTAATGACCAGTAACTCTACCAACAAGGTGGTATTATTATATATATATATATATATAATCAGATCCAACTTCTCGTTTGAAATCCACGTGACATATGTGCTACACATTTGGAATTTTCCCTGTGTGAACAGAAATCTATACAGACTGAATTACGTGGAGCAAATTATTCAGCCAGTGATAAAAAAGGCTTTTCACCCTTTTATTCAGTTTCCATTTATTTTGGGACCTCAAACTTTCATCGCTTTGGTTTCTAAGAATTTCAAAGTAAAGTATCAAATCCGATAACTAAATTCCAGCTAATAATTCAGATACAGGGTGGAGTTCTCCAAGCAAATGACTATTATTTCGGCAGTAAACGTTACAGATGCCATTACTTAACCAAAGAACAAGTTATCGAATCTCTAAAGGTCAATTTTGTGAATTTATTAAGAAAGACATTTTATTACTATATAAAACGGAAAAATCGATTTGTTCAATATAAATACTAATACTAGTTTTTGAGACGCAATAATCCATTAGTTTACGTCATCTTTTAATAAAAATGAACAAGATATATTTTAGGAAAACAATATGGCAGTAGAGAAAGGTGAAAATTTCAAATGGTTTGAATTAGACGACGTATTCCTCTTAATCACTAGGAAGAAATTTTGAAAATATATAACATGAAGAAATTGCCAGCCCAGAAAGAAATTAATTCACTTCTTTATCCCTTTCTATTCTTCTGTCACTTTTTAGCTCAAAAGAAATTTTTATTTTGCTTTCACACCAACATTCCTTCTAATAACTGCAAAAATTTTGTTCAGAAATGACACTACTGAAATAACAGCCAATATCAAACAGAATAAGATGATTAAAGAATTATGCCAGATATTTCTTATCGATATAAGTAATCATCTGATTGTCTGAACAAGCTATAATTCCATTCGTCGACACGCTGAAAGTGCTTACTGATGTCAAACAATCAATAAGCGCAGTGACACTGGCATTCCCAGAACGAACTGATGGTGAAAGCCATGCATTCGCTCGCGACTGACTGTTAAAATTTGAAATCGAACTGCAATTCAGGTTTTATAACTTCAGTGCTAATAAAAAAAAAAAAAAAAAGCCGTAATATAACAGAGTGAAGCTGCCACGAAAGAAACTCACAAAAAAGGTTAATTCGTTGAGCATTCATAACCCTTAGGCACTCGCAACTATTACCTAAAACAGTATTATCAGAAAGCATATATAACTGGATTTACCTGGAAAGACCAGATCCCTTAACGCTTAGATGCAGCAGATGTCCTTTACCAGTTGCACAATAAAAATTTGATGGATAAACCGGATGAAAGGCTACCTGAAAATTTTTAAATGCTTCATTTTCGAAATAAGCGGATCCTCAAAAGCGTTGGACATTTTAATATCAAATTTCCATGACAGCGCTTGCTTTTTTTTGGCCAAGACATGATGTAAAAATGTGCTAACTTCCCAGACTGTGCCAACTGGAAAAGAAACTGCAACAACATTTAACAAACAACTACTTCGACGTGTATCGAGAAAACCAATACCACCGTCCTCAGTACCAAAACCAACCTGCAATTTTTATAACATACATAAATTTACTTATATAAGGCATATATAAGGCAAATTTACACATACATAGTTAACTGGGGGTTTGTGGTTCATGCAGATTTAAGACATTAGCAATTCATAGTTATGTTGAATAATGGATGGAATAAATGTAACATTTGGCATAATTGCAGTATCTATTGATGGTCGTCTAAATGTTATTTATGTCGGGAAAACTGGTAATATTTGAAAATAAATTTACATAGATCAATAAGATTAACTAATTGACTTTAAAAATATGCAAAGTTACTAAGAAAGTGAAAAACTGACCAAATTAGGCTCGGCAGGATGAGCAGCAACTGATGTAGTACCTTGGAAACAGTCGGTAACTCTGCATGAAAATACAGGTCGAGATGATTCCGCTTCTCCTCTGAGATCCCATAAACAGACTTGTCCATCTAGATGAGCTGATACAAATATATCTCGTGCGACTGATGCTAACGAACGTATGCTTGCCATACTCTGCATGAGTAACTTGATTCTCTCAGAATGTAAATTATGACGACAGCTCAAAATATGACTACTATAAGCTGTAATAACCGCTTAGTGAAGAACTATATAAACTAGCATCTTCTCAAGCTCGAAGGAACTAAAAGATTTTGTTTTAAGGATGATTTCGTCACTGCATTATAATGTTGTAAGTGCATAAGGAAGTTCTGTAATTTAAAAGGGAAAGATAAGGCCTTTGGCAGATTAAGAATAGTAAGAAAATTGGAATCCCTAGGTCAGGTAAAAAGAAAAGATGAGTGACAATCCGATTTTATTGCATTAAGAATAAATATTCGGGAGAAAAATCCAGGATGAACAAACCAAAGAGACAACTTCCTTAGCATTGCCGCCCAAGTCGATACCTACTAAACTTCCACCCTCACCACCACAGATGATCTTACCACTGTTACAACACAGTGCATTACAAGGACAACCACCGTGCACATCAGTATATTTCTTCATAGGTTTAATGACACCTTCATCATATTCTAATAACTTCACTGAACCATCATTCATCGCAGCCGCGAATTTCATTCCATCATATAGGCTGAAAATCTTCATCTTTTTAATTCAATAATTTAAAAAAAGTTTGCAATGCCATATATATAATGCATTCGAACAAAATAAGAATTATATATATAAGCATTCTGAATAATTCCGAAAATTCTGATAAATAAATAAAGCATTCTGCAAAAGAATATGCAGTGGACAGTCTTGAAAATTAATACAATAGGGATATTACTTACAGCAAATCATTCACGTCTGCGTCAACCATTAACCTGCATTCACACGAGAATAAGTCATCCGTTAATTTAGCATCTAAATATATGACAATGTCAACTCGAATGATTTTGAATCATGAGAAAAAGGCAAAATCAATACTTAAAAAATTAAAAAAAATTGGTTGGGAACAGCTTATATTGCTATTGCTTCTGTGTAAATGATTTCTTTTGAATATCATATGCTTATGGCTAATAAAATTTTCTCGAAAGCTTAACCATTCCCAATTATTTACTAGGATATCCAGTTGAATGATTGATAGTCAGCTGAATGACTCAAAAGATACAAGACTAAATTGACATCACAAAGAAATGTAAATCGAATCCTCTCAAACTGAGTCATTGTTGATCAAGTGATATATGGCACTGCTGGGAAAATGGAATATTAGAATATTAGGTATCATATAAGAATAAGGTAAAAGACAAATGAAGAAGGAAAAGAGCTATCAACCTTCAACCAGTGACCATGCAGCTATTTCTTTGTTTCGAAAGTCGTAGGTTGAGGTCAGGAATTTCTTTTGCTGTCCTCCGAGATTAAGCCATCGTACACGAGAAAACTTTGCTGCACCAAACTGAGAATGATAACATTGTTGGCCATCTGCATCCATAGGACTTATGGCTGTCACTACAAAAATGATCTCATTTTATTCATTCCTACAAGAAAAAACAAGGCGTTTGTTCTGCGGCACTGTTCATTTACTCCTTTACTCAATTTAGCCACAAAAGTACTGTACATAATAAGAGAGAAAGATCCATTCTCACCCAAACTACCAAAGTCTAATTTTTTTAAAACACTGATCCCAGTAGGCTGCAATAGTTGTTAGTGATGAATTGAAATGCAGCTAAAAATTCTTAGTGAAGTTCGGTTGTGGAGTAGGGCGAGAGAGTAGAGCATGGCTGTTTATATTATGATCTTTTAGGGAATGTTAAAGAGAAGTCCAAGCCCACCAGCAACGTATGCAAAGTATTTGGATGATTTTGAAGGATGTGATGAAACACAGACGATACCAACTACCAGTTCTACCAGTTTACACCGAACTCCCGGGAAGGTGATTTTTTCTCTTTTCTTATCTTTATGGTTCACTATGATTTGTAGTTATTTAATTTGACAAGAGCTGTTCTCTAGTGAAGATTTATTTGTTTCCTCTTCTGGTATTTAATTAGCTACCTAATTTGATAGACTTATTTTTGTCAAATTCATGTGCACTATTTATATTAGTAACCTGTTAGTAGTCCTTAACTGTACTATTAATAATCCATAACTCATAAATATTAATTGCTTCACGTCTGCGCTGCTTACAAGTTAGAATCACAACAATATTGTAATGATAAGAGTAATATAGGAACTGAGCCTAGATATTTGCCATTTCATTTGTTAAGAATATTGCTGCATATTCTTTCTCAATTATAAATCATGTTTGATTATTCTGAATGATAGTTGTAGCCGTTTCTCTTTTGCTGACTTCAATTACAATTATAAAGCATCATCAAATGGTAAAAGGGAGTCAATTTATAAATTCTAAACAGTATCTTTTACAGCGCGCATATCACCGACAGTTTTCATCAGAAGGTTATAGTAGTACGTTTGAGGATTTCGAATCTGTAGAAAGCAGTTATAGCGGCTTCATCGAAAATTCGGCCATCAGTGAGCAACAGTATTCTGCGAATGCAACAAATTTTTATGCCGGAACTTATGTTGGAACAAATTCTTTAGATGACCAGATAGGCTGCACGCAAAATACGAGCAGCGAGCCAGCGAAGGAAAATAGACCAAAATCAATTTATGAATTAAAAGAACGCGAAAAGTAAGTGAAGAGCATCTATGACTCTTATCCCTCATTACTACATTGGCTTTTAATCATTCTTTTCCTTTCCTATCTTCACATTAATCTGTGGTTGAAGGCTTTTTTGAATTATATCTCTTACCACTCCGATATAGAAGAAGTTTTGTATAAGTGCTTTATCTGTTACTGTGTCTTTCATCATACATAAACCAAAAAGAGCTAAAAAGTGTTACTTTGTCCTTCTAGTCTTCTCTAAACGACATTGTTCATTTTTGCACATGAAAGCAATTAAAGCAGTTAACCTTTATTGTAGAGCGGTAAAACATGTGAACAAAATCTGTTATGCGTTCGCGAAATTTGGTGATTGTCACTATGGTGAAAGTTGTAAATTTTCCCATGATCCGAAGTTGCTAACTAAACAACAGCAGTCACTGCAACGTGTAGTGTCTCAGTATAGTGATATGGAGAGCAGTGCACAAAAACTTTATATAAATGAGAGTATGTCATATTGTGTTTTAATTAATATTTTCAAGTTCAATTTTTCAAATCGACCAGGATCATTCCCTAAAACTTGAAATTGCATAATGAATTTGTTAGTACTTATTGCTTAAAAGCTGAATTAAATGATACTTGATATGCCATGATGATTCATGTCGGACTAATTAATGATTTAGTTGAAAGTTCAAGCGCAACATGCCATCAGTTGGAACAACGTTTGATAGAAATTCAGCGAGAACTTACAATGTTAGAGGAAGAGGGAAAAAAGGTTTGTATTAAATCATTTTATTATATCATAGCGGTTAGTTTTTCCACATTCTGAAGCAGTACAATTTGCAGCCAAAGTCTTCAGTGGTTGTGCCTCGGAGAAACCAATCGATTTTTGGTAGTAGTTCAAGGGCTGCTATCAATGTTGGTGGTGATTTTATAGTAAAAATTGGAACGTCATGTAATGATCGTCAAGAAAACAAACGGGGTAATTGTTTTGTCATTAACTTTATTTTTGTTTTTTTATCCATTGTTGCATAGAGTGGAGATTTTTTGAATGTTGTGTATTCTTAGCACAGAATATAATCGGCATATTATGTCAGCACGGAGTATGTTTTAGGTTTGATTATAAAAGTGAGGTTTTATTGTTTCTTGAATCATTACATGGTATAATTCAGTTCTATAGAAAATAATCTTCAGCATAATTTCGTGGATTGCAAAGTCTTTTAGTTTTTTCAATAAAACATAATTCCTTAAATTTTATACTAAAATTAGTAGGATTGGAGAAAATTGTGGTTGGGAAATAGAAGGAAGAAAATTAGTTTTCTTACTTTATTGATTTCATTTTTTTCTTTTTTCTTATTGGAACTTTTTTAATTATTCTATTTGTAGATTTAATAGCTGAATATTTTTAAAAATACTGTTCCTGCAGTTCACCTGATTTTAAAATTGCTTTATTTTATGTTTATTTGGTCTATAAAGTAAATCATATTTTTTTAGGTTTTGTACTAAAATTTTATTTCATCAGTGGAATTGGTATTGACTACTGTTACAATTATTAATTTGCTGATGTTTTCTTTTTGAAATTGGTTAATCAAATTTCAAATGCTGATTTTTTTTGCGGCTTAATTCATCCGTTTGTTAAAGATTTTGAACTGCATTATAACGATATTTCAGAAACACATCGAAATTTCGGAAAACTGGATGGGAATCATAATCGATTTAAAAAGTCTGTCTTCATGCCAGAAGAAAAGATGCTTGCTGTAAGCGATGATGACAGTGAAGAAAATGATAAAAGGGAGAGGAATAGAAAACCCTTTAAATTGGATGATGTTGTTGCTGATGAAATTTCAAGCTCTGATGATGAAGGTCTCGCTTCTATCTAGATTCTATTTCATAATATGAAAATTTTTGGATTTTTTAGATAATGTTATTACCGTTCTCCATATGAATCTTTAATCTTTGTTATTTATTGTTGTTTTGTTCAACTGCAAAATTTAAAGAGTTTATAGTTGACGTTCAGTAAATACCTTCTTTTCTTCTGAATTGTTCACATAATCTTTTCTCTAAGATTTTGTTACTAAACTAGTAACATATGTATTTATAATCACGCTTCCGTACATGATGTTTTTATATCGCGCAGTTTTGAAAAGCAGTTATGGTAAAATGTTTTCCAGGGAATGTAGTGCCACCGATTAAAAAAGCGAAGGTTCTAGTCACTGAAGAAATTTCTGATGATTCAGATGTGAAACAAAGTGAAGTAGGCTCACTTGTTGAAGAGGACGGCGAGTTGAGTTTGGTGTCCGAAGACGAAGTACGATGCGACCAAATTTCGGATGATGAACATGAGAATGGTTTGTTTTTGCAGTTATTCAACCAAGGAATGTCGAAATGTGTACGGAAAAAAGAACGGGTTGCATATCTCTATTTCTTTATGAATTGAAGTTTCAGTGAAAACTAAAAGGTCAAGTACTTTTTTTTTTTGTTACCAAATCAGCACATAAAGCTTGATTTTAAATTACATATTTTCTGGGCAAACTTTTCTATTTATTACAGTATTATTTCTTTTGCATGCATGTAGGAAGTATTACTGAGCCGTTGGACCTTACATCAGTGATCGATCCAAAGCAATTAATTGACATCAGTGAAGATGAGCTGGTAGAAGAAGATAACTGTGCTACGACAAGGTATGTTTATTATCACAGTAGGTGATTGTTTGTCCTTTATCTTTATCCTTTATTCAAATTTTATTTAAGTATAAGAGTTTCCATTGAGATATGCATCACAGTTTGTTAAGATATGAAATTGAATGCTTGAGTATTGAATGCTTGAATGCTCCATTCATTCATTTTCATTAAATAAAATATCTTAATTGCGTTTTCCTTTTAATTTTGTACATTTCGTTCATTCCATTTTATGCATTGAAATCTACCTGTTAAGCATGTAAATATTTCTTATTTTTATTCCACATTTTGCACATTTTAGCCAAAAACCAAAATCTTTGCGCGATAAGCTTTGTTTTCCTTACGTTTTTGACAATGACGGTCTTGTTTTGGATTGCCTTTCTAACAAATTTATCGATGAAGCACGATCTGAAGGCTTTGATGGTAACTTTGCTTCCATAAATTGTTATTCTTTGGGCAATATATGAAATTTATTTGCTTTAAAATTACAGTTTGTTTTATGACAGCGTCGAGGCAAATAAATAAGTTGGAACTGTTCGAATCTTTGCGTGGAAATCACAGCATATCCAGTTTTGAACATAGGAAACATGTGGAAGAGTATTTGAAATCTACTCTTTTGTTCCAGCAAATGGTTTGTTGAATTATATGTAGCAAAATTTACAGGAAGCGTAACATCTTGGACAGCAGTAACATATTTTTTACTAGATATAAAGAAAATAAAGTCTATATACAATTGTATTAAGTACAAACATTTCAGGACAGTGGCACTAACAATAGTAGAACAGCATATATCGAACTTTTGGAGGAATCCAGACAGCTTTGTTATAATTGAGATGATCAGTCCACTTAAAGGTCGCCAAGAACGATATGGTCAAAAAATTTGATAATTGAAGATCAATACTGTTTCGTTTTACATTTTTCCGAAAATTTTGTTTCGTGCAGTGTAAATTTTTTAAAGTTTTGTTTATGCCTTGTTATAATTCATAGAAAATGGCCATATAAATCCATTTTTTTTTAATTTTCTTTTCACCTCCATTTTATAATAATATTAATACTCGTTGTTTCATCCTAGCAAACTTTCTCAGACTACATTTGATTGATGAATTTTCAGTTAGACTTACTCACTCATGATTTTTTGGTGAATGATGTAATTTGCATTTTTCAATTTATTACATCGATTTGCTGGAATGGTTTATTTGTTTTTGTTGGTTCTTTTCCACCATTCTACATACTTTTTGGCTATACATGGAAAATCATGATTTTGAGGGAGGTTTAAAGCAAGTTGGCTACTTTTTTAAATTTCTGATTCATTTGACTAGTGTTTTTAGTTAGACTTATTGAATGGTTTTTTGATAAAATTACTTAGGAAGCCACCATATAAATATCCAGTGAAAACAATCGGTTTAAGAATGTGTTATTTCAACGGAAAAAGATTGTTGCGACTCCCTAAGCCATTGAAATATAAATCTCTGAATTTGTTTAGGATTTTTGCGAAAGTTATGGTGGAAATTTGGGACGGTAAGTGTTTTCTTTCCTAATGACTATCAAAAGCCTGCTAAACGGGTGTTAAGCTGTAATTTCTTGCTTGTTCCAATCAATTTTAAGTTTGTTTCTGATTTTCAACAACTGCAGTCCACTTGAATATTCAAATCTTGATTTCGCATGGCGTAAGTTATGACCTACCTTAATCGTTTTCAGATCTTCGACGTCGTGCTCGCACACTTGAGAATCATATCGATGCAAAATTAGTAGTTTTAAACAAATTGGCCTCTGGTACGTCAGGTAAAGCCGCACACTGCCGTTGTTGATTTATTTCTTCGGATGACGATTCTGCATAGTTTTATTGTCTTATTGATCTTTAGAATTCCTCTTTCTAATTCCTTTTTGAACAAGCAGGATAAAATATCCTAGTACTTTGTCCATGCAAATCATCCAAAACTAGAATTGAGAAGCATGAACTCCATGTTATTTTCAATGCATTGTTTATACAGGTCGATGTGAAGCACTATTGAGTGACAAGACAACTGTAAGCGGTAAGCAGGAGGTATTCGATTCATTGTCAGCAGAAATAGAAAGCATGATTGCCAAGCTTACACAGGTTGACGATCAGGTAGGCATTATCCTCCTTTCTAATGATTGGCAGTTATTGTCCTAATCTATTAAATCTTAATCAGAATCAGGCTAGTAAGGAATATATTTTTTCTAGCGTGGAATTCTCAAATGACCAAGTAAAATGCAATTTTAGATGACAGAATATATAGCGAAGTGTCAGGAAAATTCAAGGACTGGTACATGGGCATCTGGTCCAGCATTACAGCACACACTTAAAAGGCATCGCGAAATACTGCGTGATTACTGTACAGAATATAACAGATCACATGATAATATAAGAAATCAATTACAAAGGTTTGTATTACGTTTTACAAGTCTTTATTTTTTATGTTGTATATATGGGTTTTCTTATTTCCGATGCGGCAGCAGTATTTCTGCAGGATTGTTTTAGAGAAAGCCTGTTAAGTGGGAGTTCGAATGATAACCCATATCTCAATAATCGTTCAAAAGCAAGCGATATGTATTTAAAAGAAAATGAACACATATCAAGCTGCGATCGTCTTTTAGATGAACAAATTAGGTAACTTGTTTTATTCACTTTTGATCTATATTTCACCTGCAGCTTTTTAATAATCTAACAATCAAATATGCAAATGTATGACTATCCACAGTCGAACTTGAAAGATAGCGCTGGAGTAATCATATTCAACACATCCTTGCTTTCTCTAGTTCTTTTATTTTTATCACTTGTGTTTTCTTTAAATTATCTTGATTAACTTTGTTTGTATTAGAGTTAGTACTGATTCAAGACATTTTAGCATCGCAATATCAGCAAAAGAACATGTCCATAATCAGCGGGTGAGCCTACGAGACATTAGTAAAAAAATGAATGCATTAACTAGTAAGTTTTTCCGCATGTTATTCTTGAATGCACTGTTTTTCGTCTTTAATTATGACTTCATCCAGAACTTTTCTGTCTGATAGTTTATTGGTAAAACATGACTTTATGTGAGAAGTCATTTATCATAACTACGTTTATGTCTGAAAAGATCTCGATCATTCCGTTTATTTCCAGCGGCAGTTAGGACTTTAGCAAAAAATTTAGACCCCATATGAATATGTCAGTTAATTATGCATATATTTTTTGAAGTACACATAATAAAAAAGTGTTTCTTTATTACTTTCATTATTCAACATATTATATTACAGAGAAATATCCATTGCTGAATAGCTTGATGCAGAAAATGCAGGCGAGAAAGCGACGAGATTCGATCATAATGGCAACGATGATATCAACTTGCCTGATTTTAATGTATATATATATAGTGCGCATGTAACTTAAGGATTGTCATTTAGCAGTAAAGGTTGCATCTTCATTTTGATGAAGATGCTTGGCCTGCAGACTTTAAACAGTCAAATATAAATACGACGTCAGGTGTTTTTATATTTAGGATTTTTACCTGACAGAGATATAAGGAACCACTGCGGACCCACCCCTAATTAATGTAGTTTTAATGAATCGGCTGTTTTGTGCCTTAGTAGGGTTTTCTTTTTGTAAGAATTGTAATTACCGGAGATTTCCGTCACCGACTACACTTTTTTTTTTTTTGGATAATTTGTTATAGTTTTGAGCCATGTACTTTTTCATGTAGCAGTAATTTGCAGATCTTGCAGCAAACACTATTATACTGAAAACCCGGCTACCCTGTCTAGCATATTCCTTCATGCTGTGAAAGTCAATTCCTTTTTAAATTGTCAAATGAATTGAGTAATTTTAACCAGAAATATGGTGGGGCTTCTTTTATCTGCAATAGCAATTCAGTACTATCCTTATTCCATGCAAGATACCATACCAGAGAAATACCTGAAGAAAACATGTCGCAAAAGAAATAAAAACAATGACTTTTCTTTATGCGACCAAAAGGACTGGAGATAAGTGAAAGCTGTATAGATTTGCTATTAACTACAGTGGGGATCTCTAGTTCCTGAAGTTAAGTCTTCGAAAATGTTTGAATTTTCTGTACTCTAGTAACATTCTTAATTCTATCCCATGTTAAGATAGTTTTATGACTCCATAAAACTATTACATATACTAATGGATCATGGACCTTTTTCTGACCACTTTTATAGGTATAAGTAGAAAACTAAACTTACATAAGAACTTAAGCTTAACATGCTTTAAAAAAAGGTATACTATGAAAACTCTACCTATGTCCTATTACTTCACAAACCAATCAGCTCACACGTTCAAAATGCAATACTGACACACCCACTCCTCTGCGCCGAATATTGACATAAAATCAGGTTACGACTTCTCGTAAATGCAGTAAATAATTTGACAAACAGATGTAATGCAAAAAAAAACAGGTACATTAAAATGTTGATGTAACAACCGATAAACAATGCATTAATTTATAATTTCTGCTCGCCCTATTCTCGCGGCAAAACCTTCCTACATATGAAATAATTAGGAAAGTGAACTATTTGATGTGAGGGCAATGCTTCTTTCGTACAGGCATGTTTTCTGGACTTCACCCGGGTCGAAATCAAGAGTAAACAGTAAATTCTTACGGTCGCGATACAAATAAACAGGGAGGGTAATGCTGCTCGGGGAACTTGCCTCGCGGAACCATGACAGTGTAACATTTTCTAAATCCGTACTGACCTCATCCACAATCTCCAGTTTATTTTTTTCCTTGCACGCTGCACCCATTAATCGAAGACCTAATAAAACAAATAATGAAATTCCTTGTATATCTGCAACTCTGGATCAAATTCTGTTAAAAATCCGCTAAAAATCTTGCACCGAAGTGCAAAAATTTACCTTCCACTCTGAATGTGTCAGGACGATCGTCCATTGTGCCTATTTCAATATGCATACGTAATTCTTCTAAAGACCACTGATTCGACTGTGCCACTGTCTGTCTTGTAGCAGTAATGTATGCTTCTGGTGCAAACAATCCACCTAACCAAATGCTTTCTTTCTGAAACAAAAAAAAATATAAAAATATGTTTTAAAGTTGGAACAAATCTCCAAGTTATGTTAAAAAGACCTTCAATGAAGCAGATCCAGCTAATCTTATAAGCTGCTTCGCTCTTTCAGCAAAATCATGAATCCATGCCATAACAGTAACGACTTTTGGAACGGTATAGCGTAACCAATCAGATGGTACGAGACCCTTATTCAGTGCTAGTGTTAATGCGCGAGTATGGTTGCTCTGTTTTCGTTCGCCTCTACAAACTGATTGTACCTGGAAAGAAGTAAGTAAAATTTGCTAGCATTTGCAATTCATCAGATACATAAGAATTTTTTAGTAATTCCGGATCAATTAAAACCATATTTTCACAAATTAATTAAGGAAATTGTAGCTTTACCTCTACCAAATCATTTCTAACACTTGCAAGCAAATGAGTGCCATGAATAACTTCTCGTTCAAAAAAGCGAAAGAGTGGGTCTTTAATGTTTTCCATTGAACGCTTTAATTTGGGGATATTCTGAAATAGTAAAAAAAAACTGCTAAAAATATTAATCAGCGAGCAGCAAAAATGATCTTGAAGTTAAAAATGAATATGATGCACAAATTACCGTTGGAAGCAACTTAAGCCACTGAGAGCTTTGTTCAGCAAGAACACTCATCCACGGTGGAGATTGAGTTTTCTGATCGTCACCAGTAAAAGCCAACTCGTCATCGGATACTTTGAGCAGATTAGTAAGCATAGTTTCACCTAAGAATTCATCAAATATTTATATCTATGAAGAGCATTTGATATTGTAACAGATCCATCGTTAATCAAATTAGAAAATAACTCAAACATTAATACCTCTTACTGTAAGCAATACTTTCTCAGCATTATTTGGTAAACCAAGCCAATATGGTAACTGTAAATAGTGCATTTTTTCAACCCAATAAATGAGATGTTCACGCGAATTCCCATCCGGTATGCAGAAATCAGTTCCTTTGCCATCAATATTACTGATAAGAACACGATCGGCATCAAAAGATTTAGCTGTGAAAAGCTTCTCAAGGAAACAATCAAGCAACATCTGCAATCATATAAGTAGATCACGGAAGCAGCCAAAAATGCCCCAAAACCAAATGCAGTAAATGGTATTAAGAATTAACTGAAAGTAAAAATAATGAGAATCCAAATGTTATAAAGGAGTAAAATATACGATTCAACGATTTCATAATAGTAGAAAGTTGATCACTAAAAAGATCAAGAATACATCAACACTGTAGGATTAGGAACTCTGTTTCATTAAGGCCAGCTGCAATATTAATCAGAAATAGCAACATTAAAGAAAAAACAATAAAGTAATTAGTTTTTCACAAAAATCGATACTTGGTCAAATCCATTATCAATTTTGCCACCGTAAATGCACTGTGATAACAAGCATCGAAGTGTATGCCACGGCAATTTCTCAGGCGAAACATTTGCACGTCCCATAGCGACTGCATCAACTGATGCATCTAACGTATCACAAGCCACACGTAAATCAGAATCAGAGAACTCATATGAATTCGCCCATCCAAGTGGAATATAACGCATTCTCTCTTGCACAATCGCATGCAACCAGCATACAAGAAAGTATAAACGTGATCGTTCAACCGGAGGTTTCGTGATTCGTTGTGGTGCAAGTGAGCTCAATGAACGAAGCAAATTCGCCTAAACAGCAGTAAGTAAAAAGATGAGCGTTTTCATTCCAGAATTCTAAGCAACAGAGAAAGAAGATACTATTAAACAGATGCAATAAAACCTACTTTGAGACCAGTGGCCGGTTCATATACAACAACACGTGATGCACGCAACACCTGTGGTGGCAGCTTAGGGTGAATTTCAGCAGTCAATAGTAAACGGAATTGTGGATGTGGTTTCAGGGAATGTAAACGTTTTTCCAGTTGAGCCAACCAGGATGGTGCTAAATGCACGTTTTTCAACAAAATCCATCTTCCTGACTTAGAAGCCGAATTTAGCGTAGTATCGGCCTGAGAAAAACCCTCCGCAGAACCTAAATTAATTTTCTTATCAACATTTCGAAATTATTAGCAAAAAATAAGAATTGTAAAAGTATTTATAACACTAACCAATTGCAATTGGAGTAACTTCACGGCCCATTTCGACAGCTAAATCTTCAACTTTACCAGATGCATCGAAACCAATAGCAGAAGATAGCAAAATTGGACGGTTCGCGTTAACCTAAAAAATTATTTTAGAATCTTTTATTGAGCAGTTGAAATAATTTCTGTAAACAGAAACAATCAGCAACGAGCTATCCACTGGTACTCTCAATTTGTATCACCGAATCATAAATAATAGAGAAATATTGTATTACTTCGTTTTCAACAATTTCACGCAGATTCACAACTTTGTCTTCTTGCATGAATTCATCACCGAACACTGCAGCAACAAGACGATGAGAAGAGGCCAAGAGGCGATCTGGTCGAATGGCATGAATTACGAGCAGTTCATTGATGCAACGCCCAATTTTCGCTTTAAAAAGTCTACTTCTTTATTAAACAAAATACTTTCAAATCATATAAAATGAGATGTGCGAAAAATTTTAATCTTTTGGGTTTCGACAGTTCCATGTCCTTACACTGTGATGTCAAGCTCATTGGCTAAAATGCTGAAGGTGAACTTACTCAATTTATCGTCATCGTTCCAAATTATCGGCACATTCAGTTCTGGATTATCAAGCATGATCCAATTTCCAAAGTCTATAGTAGAAGTAACTTTCTTAACAATATCGGTAAAAGCAGGTAAACGAGATAACTGAAATAATGATGCCATTTGTTGTGCATTGAAGCCGTGCAATGGCTCGACACCCTCTGCTTCTTTTTGGCCAGTGAAAATCTCTGAGCGACCAAGTAAATGATCTATCTGAAAGAAAGCTAAAGAAGAGTTATTCCATTCAAATATCTGTTTTCAACACTCAAAATCTTTCAGCTGGAAACAAGAAGTGAGAATAACTGAAACTTAACAAAATAAATCTAAACGATGAAGTTTCAAAAGTACAAGACACGGCAGCGTTAATAAGTGAAAATCAGACCTCTAACTGGTATGAACGTTCATTGCTGTTCCCTTTCAACACAATACGCATAAGCAACAATGCCAACAAAACTTTATCTTGGTGTAACATACCCAAAGAAACGCGTCGATAAACCATCTAAATAGAAAAATAAAAGCTCAGTGCATTTAACAAAATAATTTATTTGTAGTAAAGCTAAAAAGTAATCACCTGGAACAAGTTCGACATTATGATTTTAAGTCTCTGTTCATAATCAGTAACGGACTTAAGCTGTGGTGTGACCAACACTGCCATAAATATTTCAAGCAGAAACTCCAGTGAATACTGGTAAAGAAAGTGAACTTCGTTAAGCTGTTGAAGCATCAGATATATCAGCGAACATGCTTGCGCCAGACGTAAATAATGTTGAGATACGGTTTCTACCTTCAAAACAATTACATCTGGGACTCAATTACAATAATTACGAAATTGCACAAATCAAAAAACCACTCATACCGTAATTCACATTTCTCCTTAAACTGGTATTGTGACCATAAGCAAGACCTGGTCCGAAAAGCCTCAGTTGAGAAACCATTTTATTTAAGATACTGAACTCAATTCAAGATGTCTTACTTCCGCTATAACTTTATTTGTCTCAGCTGCTTTACGACCAACTTCAGCGGCTTCATTCTTCAATTTCTCAAGAGTAGATATAACAGAATCATCGTCCAATATTTTACCCTTACTTTCGTTAAGTGCTGCCAGAAGTGCCTGCAAACAACAGGATTATTAACGTCTAGAAACAAATCCAGCAACAAAGAAAGATGCATCAAAGTAGGACTATGATCTCAATAAACCTTTTCCAGTTGCCTTAATCGTACAGCGAATTCTCCTTGCAGTTTCAGCAAATCATTGCGTTTTTCATCCACATCCGGTCGTTCACTTCTTAATACCTGATTTAAGCACTGCATCTCAAGTGATGCCCGTGTCACCGTGAAATTAACAAATGTCACTCTTGAACATAGATCTGGTGCAAATTCAGCCTTAAATTAAATAAGATGCAAATCATATAGTATTTCAATGTGAAATCTGCAACACGATTATCAAAAAGAAACCGAAGCATCTCGCGTAATTAAAAATATTTGGAACGATGGAGACAAGTCGATATCCTGATCACCCAGTCTAATCAAAATACGACCGCCTGTTCTTTTCACTTCACGATTCAAAACTGGATTCAAGATTGGATCATAACTTTCGACATCTTGAACGAGAAGAGAGTTTCCAAATCGTAATGCTGATTCCAGATTTTTCCTAAAATTACTGACATCATGAATTAAAATTGTCATACTGAAAATACAATGTTAAGAATTCTCAGTTTACAGCACATGGTAAAAACATGCTTAATTTTATAGATATAGAATAATCTAGTGCATAAAAGAATTTTAAAAGCAAAAACATACGGACCAAAAATACTACATCTTCTCATTATTATATACTTTTTTGACGTTACAGTTCCAGTTATCGTGATTGAAATCCTACGAAGTGCAAATTAACATAAAAAATTGATACTTAGATGTACACATTCTCAAAAGTAAGTATTATATAATTTTCAATAAAAACAACAAGATGTAAATATAAGATTTGCAAACTTCATGTTAAAGTAACAATTCACCTGAACGAATCATCCAGGAAGCTTGTTTTTGTGATATTCTTTCCCGCGAATTGTTTCATCAAATAATTAATTGCTTGTCCTGATGGATCAATGATAAGTGGATAACGATTGAATCTGAAAATGTTATATTTAATACACTCACCACTGAAATTCATATTTCGAAAATAGATTTTCCTTTTATTTGGATTAAGATAAATGCTACAGAATAACCTATGAAGCATAATTGCGTTCTCCGCACAGAGATCATCAACCGGCAAACCATTTTTATTCCATTCAAGACGTTCATCAACTGATGAAAGATACTCCACGCGGGCCAAATCCGAGCGATGCTTTATTTCCGCTTGTTCAACAAAAGCTGTCCAGCGTTGAAGAAGAAGATCGCGCAATTGTTGATCGTAGTAGCTGAATTATGAGATACAATTTCGAAAATTTTTTCAATGAATTTATGGAACAAAAGGAAAAAATTTTACCCAGAATAAGCTAAAAATGCAGCGCTTAGTAATGCATCACCAATAAGCGAATCCATCTGCTGACTGAAACCATCGCAACTACCATTCCATCGATCTCTTTCGGAGCCAAGACTTCCCAAAAGCTGCGTGCTACGACCAACCTGAAATGACATGCACAAACACAACTAAAAAACTAGAAATATAAGTAGAAATAATGCCAAATAACAACAAAGCGAGATCCTAAATTCCAAAAAAAATGCATACTATGGGAAGCAATTCTCATTCTTTTCTCTGTTATTACTGATGTAAACCAGATGAACAAGAATTAGCTTTCACTAATTTTCAGAGCCACTGATAAAACAGCCATAGGTAAAATGACAAATGGTAAGTTTGCATATATCATAGTATATCTACAACATATCAAGCAAACCTTTTCCTTGACAGTTGCTAAATCTGCCTTAATTGCTTCTGCCTGACCGATCAACTGTGCATATTCTTCTTTGTATGCAGCAATACTCTGTTCTAATTTTGCAATTGTTTTTTTCAAATCTTCGCCTTTTGCTGTTTTGACTTTTGCGTCTTTTTCTAATCGTTCCAACTCGTTTCTCAGTGGCTCCACTTTTCGCAGCATATCCGAATAAAGAAGCTGTGCTTTCATCCACTTAATCATTGGACCGCAAGCTGATGAGGCGCGATTTACCTGAACGAGAGAATAAGCAAGATTGTTCCTATTTTAAAGCATATTGATTTCTAGAAACTATGAAAAAGATTGTAAAACCTTATCAAAGTCCCAGTCAGGATTACGAATATACTTCTCCATTATCTTCAGAGTTTCAGCAGAAATGCTATCAGTGTCGAAATTGAGAATTCGTGGCATGAAATCATCCTTCACCATAACACCACGTATAGCCTTCCAATCCATGCCAACATTCTATACGGTAAATGAGAGCATAAGCAAAATGAGAACAAGAAAAAACAAGAGAAAAGATTTTAAATATGCATACCTCTCCAAGAAGCAAACATATTGATTCAAGAGCTAAGCGCACAGGCTGTGGCGGTGCAGCCATCGAACGAACTTCGATAAGTTGACCTTTTTTGATGCCTTTCACGGCTTGTTTTGCCTCTTCCACAGCTGGCTCGACCTAATGAAAACAATTCAGAGAAAGATGAAGACTTTACTACCGGTTAAATATTTTGAAATGTCCTGAAAAAAAAACAAGTGAAAGATATGACTCATTACTTAAACGCTAAATATTTTGTTACCTGCGCCAGATCTTCTTGTACCTCTGTACGCTTCTTTTCAATTTGAACAAGTGACTCAGCAAGCTCTTTTTGCAACTGCTCACTGGCCAATTTCTCCTTTTCTGCACGTTGTTGGTCAGCAAGCATCTCCTGCAAAGACGCTCTTACGAAATTAAATGAACTTGAAAAATAAAGCTCAATAAAAAATTTGAAAAAGTTTTTCCGATTGAATTACTTTCAGTTTAGCATTAGCTGCAGCTTTTTTCGTTTCCAATTCACTGCTCTTCAGCGTTAATGATTTTTGCAATTCCAAAACCTGTTCTTCGGTTTCTCTGATCTTAAAAGCACGAATTAACCAAAACAATATTAATTAAAGCATGAACAATGAAAACTTTAAGAATTCTAAGACGAAGAAACCTTGCTTAGACCAATATTTAGGTGCAATTTTTCTTCTTCTAAATCACGCCGCTTCTCATGAAAAACGTTGATATAGTGTTTAATGAAGTCGAGAAAATGCCTTGGAGTTAATGCCACTACTCGGTGGCCGCGTTTCGCTTCATTCTCGTTCAACTGAAATATAAAGCGGAAATTCTAAAATCTTGCATCTTAAAATACGTTTTTCGAAGAACAAAGTGCAAACCTTCCTCACTGAATTATGAACATGAACGAAAGTGTTGATAACAGCATGACGATACTGTATTGGCGATGGGAGAAGGTCGCATACTGCTGGAAGAGTAAGTGGTGCTTGATACTCCGGGAGAGCCATATCAAGCGTATTTGTCAATTCCATACCAACCTATGTTTTCAAATAAAAATTTCGCTGAAATTAATGTCATCGTTGAAACAAACAATTTGTAAGGTATGGTGCCATAGAATACCTGATAAAGTGCAGAATCTGTCCAATCACCAAACCAATTCAGGACACATCGGTTAAACAAAGCCGGAGAAGTTGAGGACCGTTCTCGAAGCCCTTCACCAGAGGGATTCATTGTAAATACTACGTGAAGATTTCGCATTACCTCAAAATGATTCAAAAATGAAACAAAACTCATAAAAATCACCACAAAAGAAAATGTATGATTAAGCAAAATACTTGTGCTGTAAACCACTTGTATAATTCGTCAGGTGAATCAAGCATGAGTCCTTGACGATGAGCGTCCTCCTTAATTTGGCTCATAAGCGTTGTATAATCATCACCTTCGAATAAACCTGGTACCTAACAAAGTCTTTTTTAAAACGAGTTAAGTACATAGAACCATGATTTACATAAAAAGGATGGAAAAAATATTCCGACAGTCCGGCCTTATTCAATAACAAATTCAATAAAATTACTTCGCCATTGGCAAGTAGGGTGTTCAAACGTTCTAGAAAACCGGTATCAAGCATATTTGATTCATCCATAATGAAGCACACTTTCTCATTACGACAACCGGTACGACGTAGAACTGTTCGTATATCCTCATCAAAATCAGTGGCTGTATACTTTGAATGAACTTTCAACTAAAAAAAATCAAACATATTATCACTGATAAGTTGAATCACCATGTAATTTATATTCTATGAATTATTTTACTTTACCATAGTGAAATTACTCATACATGAGCAAAGACTGAAAATTAACGAATGATTACTAGGTTTTCTAAAAATCTGAGAAACCAAATAACCTGAAAGACAGACAATCCATTGATCCAGGCCACGAATCTGGACAATGTTGTTTTGCCTGAACCAGAAGTACCAATCAACAGAAGATGACCCTGTGGTTGTCGATAAATACGATCAATACGTAATACATGATCAAGCATTTGATCGAACAACACTAACTGAACATCAAGCTCTTCTTCATAAAAACTTCTCAAACGAGCGGCAACATATTCCTTCAATTGTTCTTTCGACACCGGTAAATAATGTTTCGTTAACCTAAAATAAGCAACCATAAAATTCAGTAAAAAATTATGTTATGTATCTTCACATGAAATAATAAATTTTCCCTATGAACGTCCTATAAACGTCTAAAATTGAATTAAAAGATTTACCAACATGAATAAAGCATAGGTCTTTCCCTATAAACGTCTAAAATTGAATTAAAAGACTTACCAACATGAATAAAGCATAGGTCTTTCCAAAGCCTGCTTTAGATCGCAAGAAGTGCCAAAGTACTTTTCAGCAATGGTATCAAGTAAGTGATCTGTCCACTCACGTTCATCATCACGAACAAGACGGTCTTGAAAAAGACGTAACGCTTCGTGTGCCCACAATCTGACAAGCGCCTCTGGATTAACGCTATCAAGTGGTGTGATCGCTTCACTGATAGCTCGTACCCATCGCGTTAATTCTCGAGGGGAGTAAATATAGTGGGGTTGTTCATCTTGTGTAAAATGTTCCTGAAAAAAAAGGAAAAAAACTGAAGAATTCAAATCTACATCTATAGATCTGTTCGCCCTGGGCTAAAAAATGCTTTGCAAAACATCAAATTCCTCAAATTCAACGCTACAACTAATTTTTCTTTCGAAACCGGTAAGGAAAATGATACCTTAAGCTTTTGTGAAACAATTTTTTAGCTTACCTGCGATTGGAGATAGAAATCAACCATCGCATTTGTCAGTGGATCCGCAAAGCTGCGCACCGAAGGAGCCATACGCAACATTGCCCGATTGAAAGTTCCATAAATTTGCAGAAGTGATGTTTGTCCAGGATAATCGACGTATACCACTGGAACATGGCGCAAGAAACGTAACGAAAGTGGATGTCTTCCAGGATCAGTAGGCGGATTGCAAGCACCAACAAACTGGATACGTTCCAAAGACACCCATGTTTGGTCGGATACACGGTAAAACCCATTCTAAACATTTGTATCTGTCTGCTTCTTTTCAATTCATTTTTTTCATTAATATGTTTCTAAATAAATATATTTTACCATTTCGACCAGCTGGCGCAAAAATGAGATAACACGTTGTGTACCATACTTGTCAGGTAATGGTAAATTAATTTCATCGCAGAATATAACCAGCCATCTCGAAATTTGTACTGGAGAGAGAACTACACCGTTCGGTGTGCGGCGATATTCACAGTAATGATCAAATGTGCGCATCAATAACTCAGGAGTGGTGGATGAAGAAAAGTTGACGTTTACAACATCCATATCCTGACAGAAACGAATAATTTAGACAACCGAAAACAAGAAATGTCTTCTAAAAACATTTTCAAGCTTAATATCTTTAGCTTCTTCGATATAATATTTAGGAAATTTTCTCAACTCATTTGTAAATATCATATTTGTTTTTGATATTTAAGAAGACGAATAATGGTGTAATAAAATCTAAATTGAATACTGCACCTGCAATGAACGAAGCGCAGAAAGAAGAGTCATTGTTTTTCCAGAACCTGGCGGACCACAAAGTACCAATGTTTTATGCTCCGAAAGCCAGGTATTCAGAAGCATTTCGTGTCTTACAGTATCCACTGTAGGTATAACCAAATCAGCAGCAGCAACGCGGTGTGTTTCCACTTCCATCTGTGGCACTTTAGAGACCCACTGTACCCATTCACCCGAGAATGCTGCTTCATAGTCAATGATTGGTAACTACAAAAAAGGAAAAATGTTAAAATCAGTAACAGTAGTATATCTATTGAACTTTATAATTTCATGTACTATCTTTACAACCAAAGCAAATTAAAGAATATGAAGACTGCAAAAGACTGTAAAAATTAAATAAGTTGATTAGGAAATCAAAATTACAGCAGTATTTGGTGGCAACGGAAGAGTGGACGACTGACGTATGAAATCGCTTAATTGCTGACGAGACTTCCATTTGCTATCACCACCAAATGCCCAAACCATGTTTACAAGCATAGCACGTGATATATAAGCCTCAATCTGATCATCCTGAAACTCTTCTATTTGGTTCCTGAATAGAATATTTCAAAGGAATATTGTTTTTAGCGAATATTTTGCTTTCAGTAATATTTTTCTGGGATCCTGAAGCAGATTAAATCAACGAAACATCCGACTGAAAATAATCCAGAACAATATAGAAAAATTAAATTAAAAAAGCGAATATTACCGGCATAGGGAAGTCAGGATGAGCATTGTCGTAATTGATGAGTTGTCGAACAGTGTAATTCATCATCGAAAAGAATGAAGACATCATTCTTTGCTGGGATGGTACCATGATATGATCAAGTTCTGTTAGCGCATACTTCAAAGTCAATGGAACAAGCGCGTCAGCATTCATATGCTGTGCTAAATAATGCGCACATTTTCGTTGCAAGTTTATTACTCGTTCAGCTTCCGGTGTTATTGCGCCTTCTTCTGATCCGACATTCAAAGACAGTAGATCAACCTTCAACTTTATTTGAATCAAAAATCTCACACAATTCACCACCTGGTTTTCATTTATAAGAAAAGTTGTAGTCTGAGCATTTCTATAGTAAAACATGTTAAAATCTAACTGAGTGTTCAATATCAAGACGAATGTTCCTCAAACGTTTCAAGAAATTATCGAATAACATTTCACATGTAATCATTTCCTCGCCAAACCAAACCATACCACAGCGAGATACTGTTGCCAACGTGGCATATTTCAAATCCGCAACTTCGAAAATGATACGGACCTTAAGTTCGGAATATAACAACCTCCGTGCCAAAACATATATGAGTCTTTGATCTGTAGGATTAATAATTTCTAATACCTGAAGAACTACAAATCAAGACAATTGTAGCAAGCACAAAAAACTGACATTTGATGGTATTCCAAGACGTTCACCGTTCGGTAGTGTTAGCAACTTGTTATCATCAAGTACAGAATTTAAATTTTCAACCCATTCAGGATCAACATCACCATCGAATATTATCCACTGCCGTTTTGATGTTTCACCCCTCACATTATCAATAATTCTACGAATAATATGCGTGAAAAGACCGTCAGTCCATTCACGTGTATTCGGATCAAGAACACCATATAAAGCATCTTTGCTCATCGCCTTTAATTTCAATTAACAACAGATATTTGATATCAGTAAAGAATACCTAGCAGCACTGAAAGTGAAGTTGGAAAATAAACTACAAATCTGAATTTCATAATAAACTAGAAAGAATCAAAGCTCATAGCAAACCTTGGCATCGATAACATATGCAACACCTTCCACTCCCTCAAGGCGTTCTAGTGCTTTAAGCAACACTTTCCATGCGGTTGTTTTACCGCTACCACTGGCACCAACAAGCATTAAACCGTGATTCAAATTCGTAATCTGATATAGCTGTAGTACTTTTTCTAGCCAAGCCGAACCGAGTTCACCAGGTATTGGTGATTGGCAAAGAAGTAGTTGGTCGCACACTTTCGCAATTTCACTTCGAAGTCTACAAAATATTTCTTAATGTTTTCGGAATCCAAACAAACAAATCGTCTGAATGAATAAATTCTTTACCCATCCATCTGGCTGGGTTTGAATTGTATCGAAGGGAAAACATCTGAAAGTAGAGAAAACAGCAGGGCTATATCATCTGATATGAGCTTTGGTACTAGTGTTTCGCATACAGATTGTATCAGGATTTGTTGTTCGGATATTTCACTTGAAATATCACTTTCATTAATCTGAAATATAAGACTGTTCAGTTTCCCAATTAACAATTTTTCATTATTGTATTTAAACTCCACTAACTTCAAGAAAAAAAGACACCTACATCGCTGCGGCTTTGGATCATACGTTGAATTTCATCTCGCTTAATGTTACCAGCACTCACAAGTACATATTTCAAGGCCCGAAGACCGAAATCGTAATGGCATTGGTCCGATAATTGCTCTTTACACAATCTAAGAAAGCAATGATATATTAATTTGCTTCTTTTTTTTAAAAAAAAAAACTTATTTCCTAAGAAATATGTTCATCCAAGAGTGGTCTAAATATCTAAACTACAAATTATTCCAATATTTACATGAAGAGAGGAACAATTTTTTTTGCAAGCTTTTCAGCCGTTCTGAATCCTTGTGAGAAAAGCATCACTTGCGCAATAAGTTGCCGATCTGGCTGTGTCATGGCCAGCGAACGGAAAAGCTGAAAGAACATTAAATTAAACAAATATGACATCTTCTTAAAGAGAACTTTAGGCAATTTGATATAAAACAGCCACGACTGCTAATTAACTTAATAATCAATGCAGTTTTGATTATTTGTTAGTATGCAATTAGATTAATCGATACTGTTATAAGTGTCAATAACGGCCGAACATTTTCAAAATACCAGTATTCACTTCGTTATAAGCCATATCATAAAAGAGAAAAACCAAAATGTTTACCTGCTTCAAGTTATCCGGTAAATTAGAACGACCTGAATAACCTGGATTCATGGTAATGAATATCGCCATATTTGAATTTACTGACAATGTTTTTCCAACCAAGTCAACCTAAGCACAGTGTTTGAGTTTTTTGCAATAAAATGTAGTGAAGACTCCAGAAACAAAACTATTCAACGAATTACCTGCATTTGTCCACCAGTCCGAACAGCTTCCTGAATAGTTTGAATTTGCTGACTAACAGCTGATAACATACGCTCTTCAAGACGATTAAATTCATCGAAACAACCCCACGCACCTACTTGACATAAACCTACTAAAATTCGTCCCATTGCCTAAAAGATAAACATAAATTCATTTTACTAATTGAAACAAAATTAAAATGAAACACAATCAATTACCAAATTCGATAAATTAATTGGAACATCAATTAAATTGAAAACTAAACTAGCCTGAAAATCAAATGTTTCATCACAGTTGAATACGAGCACAAAACGACCAATTTTATGGCCTAATGCTTTAACACTTTCAGTTTTACCAGTACCAGCAGGCCCGAATGGACTGCCACCCAATCTATAAACTAATATTATAGGAACTTAAGCAACATAAATTAGGAGTAAAAAATACCATGAACTTTATAAAATTATATGACCTCACAAATACCAATTTATTTTTTAGACAAGATCAGAGACAAACGTTCAAAGATGTCAAAGACATCTGCTCAAAGAAATTTTTCTGCCTGCCACGTAACAATTTAAGAGACCTTGAATTTAAAGCCTGTGTCATTGTCAAGTAGCAACGATCTGTTAAAGGAGTCTGAACAAGCTTTTCCTGAAGACCCAAGTATTCAAAACCGTATGGAAAATAAGCATCAGCCATTTTCATGAAGCAACACGAATCAGGATCCAATTTCCGAGGATCAAAATAGAAGCGCATACATCTGGACCAATAAAAACTTGTGATAGAAACAACTTTATTCTGGATTAAACACCGACAAATATCCCTTTTGTGTACAAATTCAGTTATCTGAAAGTTAACTTAGAATTACTTTGGAAAATAAGTTTTGAAAAAAAAAAGTGAAACCAAGTAGACCGAAGTCAGAATGGAGCCAAATAACACTACTAATAATTTAAGTGATGAGATATATTACCAATGCTTCAATTTTCTTCCGTCGAATAGCAGGTTGTTCACTCAGTACACTATCTGCCAGCAATGACAATGTCTTGTCCACAATATCTTCGACAACTTCTACAGTTTTTCCTTCAGCGAAATGCTTTTCAATGTTAGAACACCACCAAATATTAGCTGTTAGCTCAATAATTTGTGCCTAAAAAACATACAGTAATTTTAATTCAAATTTAAAAATCCAAAAGTTTCTAAACTCAAAGTATTATTTGAAAACAGTAATATTAACCGGAAACTGATCAAGCCAAGCTATGTATTCTTCTGCTCCAACTGAATTCATATCAAATTTAGAAAATATCGACAATGATTGATTTAGCAAATGTGCCAGTGTATTTCTCATTTCACATTCAATCATACGCAGCCAGTCGTTGATACGAGGACTTTCCTAAACAAAAAAAAAAAAAAAAAAAAAGATAAAAATGAAAAAATGAAATAAAAAATTGTAATTCAGGAACAAATAAGAGTGCAAGAATATTGAGAGAAATATGGTTTCACAGTCTTAAAATTATGAAATTAATTCCACAAGTACATACTTTCACATTAACAGGTTTCATTAACCGTACTCTTTCTCCTTCCCGACTGCTCATGGCCGTTATGAGAGTATTATCCTCTTCCACATCGACTGCTGCGATACCAGCAAACATTTTCTTCAAATGCTTTTGAACCCTTGTGATGTCCTTGCTGCAAGAGAGTTTTTGGCAAGTTCATTATATAAATCACGCAATACTTCAACATTAATCATGACATCTCCAAATAATAAAAATGATCTACTTAAAATGTGACAGTTTGTAAACAATTATCAAACTGCAGAGAAGTTATTTATCAATATATCTTTGTAGATGACAATGTTATAAAATGGCTCAGAATGTCATACATTCAAAGACATACATACCTATTACCCATAATTTCGAGTAAATCTTCATCACCAACAAAATAAAACCGTGGGAAGGAGTTTCGTTCACGCTCCAGATATTCACCCAAAGCCTTTTGAATTTTAGCAAGCATATCAGCTAGACGTTCCAAAAGACGCTGTGCTCCTTGCATATTTGCTATGTCCAGAATCCGGGAGGTCGATGTCACTTTTTTCATTAGTGCCAAAAATTCAGTGGAAATACTGAAAGAAAAATGCAATTAAGGTAAAATATTGTAATAAGATGAAAACCAAAGCCATAACCAAAGCGAGACAATTATTACCTAGAAAATCTACTTGATTCCACCGGCAAAAGGGTATTAATATCAGCTGATGCTGAAAACAATCCATCCAGATACACCCAACGACGCTGCACATCGATCCAGACATCGAATAGTGCGCTTATTTTATTTAGTTTCTCTTCCCATGCCAATGCATCCTAAAGAAAAATAAGGTTGTGAATGCAATTTCTAGTATAAGAACTGAATAAATTATATATTTTTCACAATACATGCATTCAATACATACAAACCAACCTATATTGTCTAATTTTTAATAATGCTATGCTAGTTAAAATTCAAAAGAAACTAACTTCCTCAAACTGTTTGTAATAGGGTGATAGCTTCATAGCAGTAAGCGAATTCATATGCTCCTTCAATTTACTGAACAAATCGTCCCAACCGCGGATAAGCTTTGTTTTATTTTGATAATTCACAAGATCAACTTCAAATGACTGCCAGTACTCGCGTACCTAAAGTCGAACTACATTATATGCTACAACATAGCTTAATAAATATACACTAGAATAATATATAGAAATTATAACTAAGACAAAAGCAATGAAAAGAAATACCTGTTTCAAGAACTCTTCCAAAGCAAGTTCACCTTGAGCTACTAGTAACACTTGTTTAATAGCTGATTCATAACGCAGTAGATCAGCATCCCACACTTGTCCCAAGGTTAACTCTGATAGATTCCAAGAAACACGGAGTTCTTTCATTAACTGCTTCCAGTGGCGCTCTTTCAATGCATCGGATTTCAACTCAACAATAGTCATATTCATCTGTAAATATAGATGGCTCACATTAGGAAGTTGATAGTTTTAAACTATTTAAAACTGACAAACTCTCCACCTTGGAATAATTGTGAAGCATTCGCTTAGCATATTCGTAAGAATCATAAGAACGATATTTGGCGGGTAACTGTTTCAGCTGAGCAAGCAGATCGTCTAAACTTTGCCGCAGCTTGCGAGGTTGCACTGATAACCATGTTTTCTCTTTTAGCTCATCAACGGCATCGTACATGGGCATCAACGACTGCCATACACCTACAAAAATTATTTGTAATCCATGGTTTTGATTTCATCTAAGTTAACTGAAACGTGTAAAGTCTCTAAAAATGTTAATTGGTTAAATGATTATGAGAATAAGACTGAAATTAGACCAACCTTTTAGATCTGACAATTCTTCCACGGCAATATCTAATTTTGCAGCGTGACCCCCAGTGAAAACTGGTTCAACCATTTCTAGTGCACCTTTTGCTTTTATCATATTTGCTCTATCTTCTTTCACCTTACTCAATTTCGCCTCGAAAGTTGCTAGCGCGAGTAGTGCTTCAGTGGGTCTCTGTGTTCCCTTCAAAAGATTGCTCTTATACAATTCAATTTTGTTTACAACTTTTTATCATAAATTTATGAGAATTTGCAACAAACCTGAACTGGTTTACATTTATCCCAATCCGCAAGGACATCCTGTGTTCGTTTTTCCACTATTTCATCTTCCTCTTTGATTTTGGTCTGCAGGTTAGCAACCTGAAATTGTACCAATTGCCCGCTATTGACTGACAGCATAATTCAATAAAATGCAAGCTTATACATTTTGTTCATCAATACATATATATATATAAAACTTGTACCTCAATATATTCGACTTCGTTAAAGCTGCTTATTATATATAAACCACTGATAAAAATCAAGCATTGCTTATCAATACTAACATATACTAATTAAACAATTACGTTACTTAACTGTTTTAACAGTCAACTCCAAATATTTATCCTCCAACTTTTTTTTCAAGCACGAAAAAAAAGTTTATTTGCAGCTTTCAAACTGTAAGGCTGCAAGCGATCATGCGAATTTGCTGAAGCAAGCATTCACACGACCATGCTTTAAAATTACAACAACAGGATAATTACGACACAGCACATCAAAATACATCAGTCATTTGAAGAGATAGTTCAAAAAGCTGATGCACATAAATAAAAAGATAAAAAATTGCAAAACAAGTAGGTATGTGAATATAGAACATACCACAGTGCCGCAGCTCGGATTATTTAACTGCATCAACGAATTTTTATAAATTTTTGAGAAAGATTTAGAAAATATGCAAAAAATCAAATAATCACAAAAAAGCAATAAACTCCGCAAATTAATAAAACCGTCCTCTCTTCATCACAAAGAGAATCCTCCCACTACCATAAAGAGAACTGCAACATCATATGAATGATTGGTTCCATAAATCAGCAAACTTACCATGAAACTCTGCCTACGAATAACAAAATTACATACTTGTGCTTGAATGGCAGAATCCTTTCGTTCCAAAATGTCGCTCAAAGCCGACCATTCACCATCAACATTTTCTGAATACAACCATGAAATCGGAAACTGATAACGTTGCTGAGTGAGCAAGCGTTGTGCAGCTCGAAATTGTTCAACCTTTAAAAAGAATCTTAAGAAACCAAATAATTTATCTAAATTAAGAGCAACTGTTTTGGACAAAAAACTGTTTCCTGAAATTTGAATTTTCAAGGACAACTAACTTTATCTTGACAAATCTTTGTTTTCTTCTTCAACTGCTGAACATATGTTATAAGTTGGATAGCATCCGTTGTTGTACCGCTGTCAACGCTTTGCTCTTCGAGTTCATTACGCCATTTTGATATGTCTGAGAAGAATGCTTGCATCTCCTGACCTAAATAATTTTGTCGACAGTGCGCTAAAACAATCGAACTTAAAACCAAAATTTTATTTTATAATCTGTTCTAAACGTACCAACAGAGGAACCGAATTTCTGCAGGATTTCACGATGCCAATAATCGTATTTCAGAGAAACCTTTGACTGAACTTTAGTGTAGTCAATAACCACCGGAAAAATCTCTTTTCTCGTTTCTTGGGTATCGAATGTTGCTCTTGACTTTCGAATTTCAATCAGTGTTTTCATCCATTTCGATACGTCACTCCCAAGTCTTTCATATAAAACATCAGGTTGCAAGTCCCAAAGAGCCTGAAAATAATACATAAATAAATAGCATGCAAATATGTTGCTAAAAATTCCGCTTTAAAAAAATGGATATCTATATGACTGCGTACCTGATATCGTAACCACTCGCCAACATAATCAGTCACTTCTTTCATAACTTTCTCAACTGCATAATACGCTTGCTCAATAATTTTTTGGCCTTGTGGAAGATACGCTAACACGTCACGATAGGTAGCTTCCGTGCTGTCCTTTGTAAGAGTTAACTAAAAGGAAATTTCTAAAAAATTGGAACAAATCCTACTCCAATTTTTTGTCTCACTTCTTCAAGCATATTTCTTTGGAAATCAAACGATTGCTGGAAAATACCAATTTAATTCAAAATGATTAACAGCAAACTAAAGCACATTAATTTCTACCTGAAATCGCGTGCTAGAAATGCGTGGCTGGTTCGTGATTACAGACTGCCATGCAAACAGCTGGTCCAGCAAATGAGCTCGCGCTTGTTCAATGCTTGGACTGACATACATCACTTGTGATGTAACTCGCATTTCCAGAACGATTGGTTGAAGAACGGGCAAAGTACCTTTTTCATCACTTTCATCTTCGAAATCATCGTTAGCAAGTACAACAGTCCAAAGATGAATTGCTTCTTCAACGCGAGATGCCAATTTCTTAGCAATCTAAACAGAAACAGCTTGCAGAGAAATATAGCATTAGAAACCGTAGAAACCACAGAAACTATTAAAAATTTTTAATAAATAAAAAAGCAATATTCGTCAGAATTTTGAGACACACACCTTTGCGTCTGTCGAGTTAACCCAATGATGCAAATTGGAGAAATTGCCTAAAGATAGTTGATCAACTGCTTTTTGTATCGAGTCAAGTAAAGTACCAATTGTTACTGATGTGTAATGACATGTATCCAGAGCAGCAAGGTCGACCTAAAATTTTGATAATGAATCTTATACAATGAGAATCTAATAAAATCTTACGAAGAATTTTATAAAAAAGCAGTGGATACCTCAATCCTGTCGAGAAGTATATCCAATTCCTCTACTTTTTCCTGGAAATTGTTGATTGAAGATGAAAGCTTGACAACATAAGGGTCCATTTTATACGATTCCCATGTAAGTGAATTACCCTGGAAATAACTGGTCAACAAATTTTTGCAAGTAAAAAGAAAACAATTATTACAATGAAATGACTTGTCGCAAAACATACTAACCTCAGCTAGTTGTCCTTGTATATCTTTCTTGTAAGCTACAATCAGCATGTTTACTCCAGGTTTATTTGCTATTCGTTCATTTATTGAATCATAAGTGCGAATAGATTCCAATAGTGAAATTGCAAATGGATATAAAAGATTTGCCTGATGGGCTGTATTAACGATCTTTAACGGGATCCGAAAGCCCATATGTTTCATATTCCGCACCTAAATTAAAAAGATAGGCTAACATTTCTTACAATTACTTTTTTGTTTTAACAATAGTACAATTACTTCTTTGTTTTATCAATATCGTCAGTCGGATTTGGCTTTAAAACATAATGGTATATCACTGCTTTTATACTACTGCAATGATCCAGTATTTCAAGGAATCAAGTCACCTCTTTGAACAAAGTGACGACATCACTCGAGAAATTCACTTTCAAATTCAACGCAATTTTCCCATCTTTCTGACGTTTCTCAATAATAAAAATTCGTCCAGTTAGGGAAATATTTTTAGCCTGCACACGTGAAACCCAATCATCAAAAATATGCTGCGTATTCAGTTTTTGCCGAAAATTGTCGCCTTCTAGTTTTAACTGTCGACCTAGAACATCATAACATCCTTTAAAAATGGAGCTTAAATTAAAAAAAAAAAGTGAAGAATGACGAACCCTCGACATGATTTTCCCATCCCCTGCCCAAAACATCTTCGATGCGTTTCATATACTGTGTCAGTTTACTATCGATTTGACGAATCCAAAGAATCGATGCAGCAACGGGTGGTATATCAATGGCTCGCAATATTCTTGCATTATCTGCTTCATTGAAATTTTTAAATCGTGTCTGAAAAAACCTTCCATAATAAATCAAATAGATAATCCGTTCACCACTTTATTACTCAGAGACTGAAAAAACGTACTACCTGTAATTTATCTATATCCTCTTTGACTCTCTGTATCAGTTGTGTCTGATATTCTCGTATTGCACCACGGATATGTGGTCGAACAAAAAGAGCATTGAATCGTTGGAAAATCATAAACATTTCATCAGCATTTCTAGCACCACCCAACTGATCCCGTAATTTGGCAGTAATTTGAGTTTCAACGCGATCAATTTGATCTTCATATCTAAAAAAAAAAAAAACATCGATAAATCCACACTATCCGAAAATGTATCGAATCATTTTTTTTTTTCCTTTTTCTCGTTCGCAAGAAAAATTATACTAACCTACGTATAGCAGCTTCCCATGCAATAGTACCATCATTACTTACATCCAAACAATCAACCTCCTTAACATTTTCATATGCTGTGTTCACTTGCTCGATAGCACTTAACTCCGGAGCAATTAAGGTCGATGTTTTTTCAACATCCGAATCAGATCGCTTCTCTCCCTTCTGTCCCACTGGCCTCAACACCCGTGATATAACTGTACGTAACTGCTCATGTTGTCTAAAATGCTATCATTAATATTCACTTCCCATATTGTGTAGCATGTTATGGACATTTATTTACTGCAGTAAATGTAAGAATTTATTAAAGATGAATGTGGAAAAAGTCATTCACAAAACTTTTCAATGGCAAAAAAGGAACTGAATTATCAACGAGGAAGCCATTATGTAACAACTAAAAGCAAAGCCAACCGACGAAACAGTCGCATCTGGTCTAGGCGGCTTTCTAATTTTTTGTGCTGAGGATTAAGTCGCCAAGTTAACTTGAGTTGTTCATCACGCTTTTTCTTCGACAAATCACGCATTAAAGTTGCTAGTTTATCATATTCATCATTCCATATAGAAAAAACAGCGAAACATTGCGCCATTAAACTATCAAAATCTCCCAAAGGAATATTCATCAACCGTCTAGTACCAAGCGTCTGGAATTTAATAGATCCAACCGAATTTAATGGTCGAGTATAAGAAAGAAATGAAATAATTTATAACCAGGTACAGCATGCAGTGATAACAATAACCTTTAACATTTGAGTTAAAACATCCTTTGAAATAGCTTCCACAAAGCGCAGAGCTCGAGCAATTGGATATTTTGTATTGCGCAATTTTCTCATATGTGTAAATATATTCGCTAAAGCATTTTTAATGCCATCCATATTTGTAGCAGCCATCAGTTCATTCAAAGGCAAATCCTTCATCAGCACGTTGTAATCATTCACCATTGCTAACGTCTGCTTAAGACCTACAGCAAAATCAAAAATAAGTTCATTCGTGTCCTCTATAACAATAATTTGTCCAGAATTACATAATTATTGTTTACGTTAATGAAACGTATTTTCAGCATGCATAACAACCTGTATCGGCATCGAATGATACTGTTGCATGAAATCTCTTGCCACATTTCAAAGTTTCTAATGTCAGAGTTACTTCATCAGATTCTCTCTTCTGCGCAATCTTTTGCAAAGCTCTTTCCAAATTCAACCAAAATGTCATTTCTTGCAGCGAAGTTCCTGAGCCCGCGTCGCGATCCAGTTTTGTCACCTTGACACGCACATTATTATGAAAACATTCTACAGAAGGGTACCAAACTTGTAAAAAAGAACACATGCCTTCTGAATTTCTTTAACCCATCGATTGACGCCTTTCTGTAAAGCATTCAAAAAAACTGAACTTTCGACTAGACCGCCAAGATCAGTTACTCGAGCTTTATGTCCTTTTTCTGCAGCTTGCTGAATAGCATTTTGAATCACTGGATGAATAGTCAAATTAATTTCTGGTATGTCTATATTTTGCTGCATGTGGAGTAATGCCACCTCCACCTGAAAACAACGTACCAAAAATAAGCTATTATATCTATCTTCTCCAAAAGCCGACGGAAACAAAAAAAAAAAATGTACTTCACTCAAGTGTTTCTCAACAGACAATGCGAGCTTGTCACCATCTCGCTCACCTCGACCATAATCAACTAAAGATTTGAAAAGTGGCGTTCCAATGCGCCCAAAAATCGACAGAAGTACATCATAAGAATTACCTTCTGGTATTCTGCAATACTTTATGAATTCTTAGGTGTAAAATAAAGGGAATACTTGCAAAACCTATCTCAAAACTTCGCAAGCAGGATACTTTTAAAACATGGCACGCCTAACTAACCTTATAACATACAACTGATCTTCGATTGGTTTGTCAGCTTCAACATACGTGCCACTTTTTAGCAGCAATAAAGATGTTGTTCGTTCGGTACGTTTAGCGATTTCATTGGAAATGCGAAATACTGAAGTAACATCCTCAACAGCATCATCTGGATTTGTATCTAAATCTGAACTCATTCAAAAGCAGAAGAAACATTGCATGCATTCATCAAATGGCAAATTCGCAGCTTTCAAAGCTTTCATGGGAAAAATAAATGTAATAAATATTACTTCAATTCTCTACCTTATGTGAGAGATCGTTTCATAACAACATGTGGTCAAAATTTCCGTACAAGGAAGATTTTTCCTTAATCACTTATTTCGAGGCTTCTTCACAAACCTCTTGTAACGACCCGATCAACAACCAACATCTGTACTTGTGGATCACTGATGAATTTTTGCACACATTCCGCATTTCCACTCTGTGAAAGAGCTTCCTTTAATGCCGCACTCCCTGCACCAATGAATTCATGTTTTATATAGTCCAATAGAATGGGAATATCAACCAACGCCACCTAAATTTGAAATTCCAAGGCTTAAAACTTATAGAAGAGCATATGTAGTTCATTTTGTCTTTTCATCAAGTATACTCAATCATCATTTTTAGTACATTGCGCTTGTATTATCTCATTCTTTACTTTTCGTTTCTCTAGTAAACATCCGTTCTTCAAAAGAAATCCTCTGAAACAATTCTAGTTATCGATCATTGTTGTGCATATTGTCCGAGTCGAAATGAAACCGAGAAATACGTACTGCAGAGAAATACTTTTCATATGACATGTCTTTACATTTCAGTAACTATAATTCACACCCATCCAAATTAGCGTATTTTTGAACTACCTTTCTAAAATCACTTCCTTGTATGAAGCATGATGTGAACTCCCGGTTCACACAAAAAAATTATGGCAGGCATTTAATATAAATCGAATGTCAACCAATGAACCTCAAAAGTAAAATAAAGCCGAGGTAAGTTAGCGGATAACATAGTAAAGCACAGGAATGTGGATATGAGTGAGTAATTCATCAAAAAATATAAACGAACTTCGCCAGCAGCGGGCGTTGTGGTTGCAACCGTTGACTTATCACTTTCAGAATCAGTCATTCGGCCAAACCATCACTTAAAATATTCAAATCTCAATTTCCTGTCAACACGAAATGATAATTCATTAAGTACATAAAATCAAACACAAACAACACAATGCTTCTTTTCCCCTAAATACCCAGTATCCGGAAGAAGTCGTCCAAAAGACTGGTAATCTAACTTAATATCCACAAAATTTTTCCTCACTTTCTTTGAGATCACTACGACACCTGAGTGATAATGGACAATGCTTTTCATCCTTGATGATAAACTATCAATTAGTCAGTACGGTGTCAAGAGTGCTCTTGAGAAGGCCCATAAAAATTTTTGGTCGATCCTAGATACTTGAAAGATTCATACAACCCAATTCGTTAGGATTTAGGATTCATCAAACAGTAGTAATGAGACAGACAGATGGACAGGCGATTGGTGTGATAGAAAGAACTGACAAAAGAGAGCGATGTAGCACTCACTTCGGCATCAATATATGTTGCAGATAAAAGGCTTACAGTTTATTTAGAAAAGAAGAAAATAAATGACAAATAGAAAGAGAAAAGAGAGATGGAAAGACTACTGCAACATCCTTGCAGAGTGTCACCCTGCACTGTGAACTCCCACCTAACTACAGCATGCGCCGTACACACTTCATATTTTCCAGGAAAGAACAGCAAACATTGATCTTTCTCCAAAGTGAAATTTCAACGAGCTATCTGCTCCCACAGATGCTAATGCTAAGTCATGATAGTGTATTCATGAAAGACTGATTGGTTATCACGAGCTAAGCTAGTTACCAAGTGAACGGAAATGGGTACTAAGGAGTAGGAAAGGAGAAAAGAGGCATGGGCACAGGAGGAGCTATATTACAAGATGTGGCCAATGCCTTAGCAGCTGTCGTTCGCTCTCAGCTCCTTCCACATCCATCAGATGTCTCACTGAACGAACCGAGAAAGAACTCTTCTCTTTTCTTCTTTTTCGAAGACTTGGCTTGTTATGAGGAACAATGAGACATTGAGTGACAGAGATGTGTCACGAGAATGTTTGCTCAAAGTAAGCACTGATCACTCCACAGATATTCTATGGTCCTATCAACCCACATGTTCCAGCCATTACACGGTGTTCTACCTTGGACCTTCCTTCGGAAGTTCAACTTCGCTCAGCGAGGCTAGCAAAGATCACAATTTGAGATCCTTAAATAGGATTAGTCCATAAGTTCTATAGAAGTATTTGAACTGACGAAATAGGATAGAGAGAGGAGAAACACAGAGTGAATATCGGAAGAAATGGATTGTTGCGGTCGTTGTATACTTCATTCTTCTGATTAATTCAGCGGAAATGATATCGAAATGATAAAAGTGCATGGTATTTGTGCAATGCTACTCATTTGTAAATCAAATTTGCAGGGATGATGGACGAAGATGACGAATTTACGGATGGCGATGAATTTGAAGAACTCTCTGCATCCGTACTGGCAGATGGTGGCAAGAAATGTACCATTTTCCTTGTCGATGCTTCACCCAAAATGTTCGAGAAATATAAAAGTGATGATTCAGAAAGCGATTGTTCATTTCGAAGAGCTTTGAAAGTATAATTCATCCTTCTCATGTCTATTGCAACCAACACCCATAATCTTCTTGATATGCTGATCAATTGCATCTCTTGCAGATTGTGCGTTTGCAAATGGTCAACAAAGCGGTAACTTCAGCATTCGGAGAGTATACTTGTTGCATCCTCTTAAATACTGTAGTTTTTTCAGCACTGATCTTAACACTTGTCAGTTTAGGACTTCTTGTGGTTGCTAAATCCCCCGAAACCCACTGTATACGGAATGAAACGGAACATTGGATGTTTTTGGAATGGCATGTTAAAAATAGAATGTTTTTTTTTTGGGGGGGGGGAGAATGATTGAAAAGCAGTCAAAAAGGAATGCAAACAGAAAGAAGGCTTCAAAGTGTATAATCTAAAATATACTTGGAGTGAAATTTTCAGTGAGCTGAAGAGATATTATTTTAAAGCATCCATAGATATGCGATAGTGGTTAAACCCAGAATCTGGAAGTACATTAACAATGGTAGTGTTTTCAGCAAATTAAATCGCATTCAATCGACCATGTATATGTTATGCAAGAAATAGAAGAAGTGTCTGCTGAACGAATCAAACAATTAGATCAATTATTAAAATCAGGCATCTTATTGGATTCTTTGGCTATTAGTTTTATTATGAAATTCTCTTACTTGTGTGTTGTAATATAAGGGAAAAAACTCTGTAAAGTTTGTTCAGTTCAGAGTCGTATTTGATCCTTGAAATGGTATCTAACATTTAACTGTTGGGAATTCTTCAGTTTAATTCTGTTTATTCCTTTTGAACTAGTCTTCTAATTGTTTTCTAATCTGGTTTCTAAATTTACGATTAATTTTCCAATTTCTATTGTAGAAAATTTAAATTCAAATTCATTTGCAGAAAATATATTGTCAGCTTTCAAGGCCATATGTGGTGGACATGGTCACTGTGATTATAGCGAAGCACTGTTTTTATGCATTAAGAGAATGACTTCCCGAACGTAAGTTTTTTTGAACTTTTGATTTTACCTGCGAGCTTCTGCAGAAACTTCAGAATGGCCCACTTTTTACTGTAATGAAATTATAGCCCTTATTTCCGAAAACGGATCGTTTATTTGTTCACCAACGAAATGAATCTATTTGGTGCAAATAATCAGCATCGTGTTGCGGCCTGCAAAAATGCTGATGATCTTCGCAATCATAACACAGAGTTCTTGATCTTTCCACTTATTAGTGAAAACGATACATTTGTATTCAATATTTTGGTAAGGTTTAATGGTAATAAATACAAAAAATTTATAAAATGTCATTAGTACTATTTTTTTTTTCATTTTATATGATGTAAAACGTCGTTGGTCCATATTACTAGCTTTTCAGGAGTTTTTTTCTTGTGATTATTTTTGTTTTAGGAGCAGTTTGACCCAGATGTTGAAAAGAATTTCACAAATATTGGCGAACTGGAAAAAGAGTTAATTTCAGACAGTTTTTGCGATTATCTGTATTTGATTTTCTGTTTTTATAATTATTTAATAAGAGTTTTGAAACAAATACATTACTGCAGATTACTTTCGCAGAATCATGTGTATTTAGTTATTTCGTTATTTAGTTTATCAGTTTTGCAGTATACCAAAGAAGCAGTATGCACATCGAAATATAACAGGCATGAATTTCGAATTCGGAAATGGATTGAAGTTTTCAGTTGGAATGTTTGTGTTATTGTACTTCATTTGAAGTGTTATAAATAGACTCTTTCTAAATCTGTTTTAGATGCAGCGGAAATTCATTTATAAGATTTCCCAGTTAGTTTTTAAATAATTTGTATATATTAAAATTCATATTTGATTATAAATTTCTATTTTCATGTTTATTTATTCATATGGAAAGTTAGGAATCACTTTCAAGTATAGTATTTTTTAGTTATTCTTTGCTACACTCAGAGAAGATTCCTCAGCCTGCGATCCTAAATGCTGAAAAAAATGAAATTATGCAGCGGTCATATATATATGTTAATAAAGAGGTTCATATTTAGATTTTCTAAAATTTTCATTGTGAAGCATTTGTATTAGATTGAGATATAATTTCTTTTTAAATCTATTTTAGATACGGCGGAGTTTTGTAAGGTTTTATTTTTTAAATAATTCCTTTTAATTTTCCTTCTAAATAATTCCTTTTTTTAAGAGTAATGAGGAAGTACCAGTACTTGATAAGGAAATCATTCTAAAGCGACAAATCGGAGGTGAAGTTGTTGATCTATCCACAGATGAGGTCGAAAAGTTGCGAAGGCTAACACCTCCAGGTTTTAGATTTTCTTGCATATTTCATCATTTTGCAAGAAATAAGGAAGTATGGTTAAAATTGATTCTTTCTGAGTAAACATTTTTGCTAATAACATTTTTGTGCATTAGTTCCACTTTTTCTTGAAGGAAAGAACGGGTAGCAGATATTCGTTTATCCTTCAGTGTTCAATTTTCGTTTTACTCTCTATACATCATTTATAGGTATGGTATTACTCGGATTTAAACCTCTTTCGTGTCTTAAAATCACGCATCATGTCCGAAGCTCACAGTTCGTTTATCCTCTTGAAAAGGTGAATAAATATGTGTCCTTTGCATTTCATTGAATAGGAACATTTAATGAATGGTTAGAAAATCTAATAAATTTATTTTAGAGTTGCATCACTGCTTTTTTATATGGTACATTGCAAAAAAAAAATATGATTGTTATGGAATATAGTGATGCTTTCTGGCATAATCCTTATACTACGATAATTGAAATGATTTTTGCAAATAACTTAATCTAGATCTGATTGGGATTAAAAAAATTCGCTCAATAATCGTGGCTAAAATGAGATGGCTTTTTTTCATGTGTGTAGTTTTAGGATATTTTGGGTTCTACTCGAATGTACCGTACTCTTTACGAAGTTTGTATGAATCAGAGGAAAATGATTATATGTCGATATACTCAAAAGACAAATGTACCGCCAAAGCTTGTCGCTTTGGTGCCACAAGCGTCCGTTGCTGAGGATAATTCAAAAGTTTATATATATCTTCGTCTTTCTTTACTTAGCTTTTTTTCAAACGAAGATATTTTCAACTTACTTGCTGTAACCGATGTATATTTAGGACGAGTTCAATTCAAAATTTCGTTACCCTGGGTTTCATCTGATATATTTGCCATTTACAGAAGATAAGCGTGATTTCAGCGAACAAATGACTCATCCGGACGGCGATTGGCCAGCTGGTATTTTATAATTTTTGCTGGACAGTTGTGTATTTCGGATTAAAACCTTATTTATAAATAGTATAAAGTATGGTATAAATAATGGAAAACTACTGAGGACTTGAAGTTTGTACTCTAAAGCTAATAAGATCAAGTTCTAGCCTCAAAGGAACAAATTGAAGTCGCAAAAAAATTGGTGAAAAAACTTACTTCTGGTTATTTCCCCGAAAAATTTTATAATCCAGG